GGAAGATGAAGTGAATCTCAATTAACTTTCTGAGCGTTTTTCAGGCATTAAATGGAGCGAATTTCGTTTCCAGGCCGCCCTTTTGGCATTCTTTTCCTTTTTATCGGGGTTTTCTCTGGCTCTGAACTTTCTTCTATGAGTGCAGGGGTATACCCGCTACATCCTAAGGCAAATTTGTACTCGATCTTTTACGGTTAAGCCTGTGGGAGGGGCTCCATTTTTAAGGAAGATGGAGTGAATCTCAATTAATTGTTTTGAGGGTTTTTCAGGCATTACAATGGAGCGAATTTCGTTTCCAGGCCGCCCTTTTGGCATCCGTTTACTTTTCATCGGTGTGTTCTCTGGCCCTGGACTTTCATCTATGAGTGCAGGAGTATACCCGCTACATCCTAAGGTAAATTTCTGCTTGATCTCTTACGTTTAACCTGCGGGAGGGGCTCCATTCCTGAGAGAGATGGAGCGAATCTCATTTAACCAAGAAGTTACTCTTGATGTAACTCTATGAGTGTTTTTAAGGCATTAAAATGGAGCGAATTTCGTTTCCAGGCCGCCCTTTTGGCATCCGTTTACTTTTCATCGGAGTTTTCTCTCGCCCTGAACTTTCTTCTAGGAGTGCAGAAAATAATATACCCCCTACATCCTAAGGCGAATTTTTGCTCGATCTCATACGTTTAACCTGTGGGAGGGGCTTCATTCCTGAGGGAGATGGAGCGAATCTCATTTAACTCTATGGGGTGTTTGCATGCATTAAAATGGATTGAATTTTGTTGCCTATCCGCCCCTTCGGCATCCGTTTACTTTCCATCGGGGTTTCCTCTGGCCCTGAAAATTCTTTCATGCATGCCGGGCTTTTGCCCCTACAGCCTAAGGCAATTTTCTGTCCGATCTCATACGTTAAGGCCTGCGGGAGGGGCTCCATTTTTAAGGAAGATGGAGTGAATCTCAATTAACTTTTTGATGGTTTTTCAAGCCTTAAAATGGAGCAAATTTCGTTTCCAGGCCGCTCCTTTGGCATCCATTTACATTTCATCGGGGTGTTCTCTAACCCTGAAAATTCTTCTATGCATGCCGGGTATTGCCCCTACAGTCTAAGGCTTTTTTCTGCCCGAACTCATACGTTAAGCATGCGGGAGGGGCTCCATTTTAAGGAAGATTGAGTGAAACTCAATTAACTTTTTGAGGGTTTTTCAGGCTATAAAATGGAATGAATTTCGTTGCCTGTCCGCCCCTTTGACATCCGTTTACTTTCCATCGGAGTTTCCTCTTCTTCTATGCATGCCGGGGTATTGCCCCTAAAACATAAGGCAATTTTCTACCCGATCTCATACGTTTCATTCCTGGTGCATATGCCTCTTTTTTAGTTGTAAGAAGTGCCCCATTTGCACCTCCGATAATTAGCCTTTGTACTTTGACATGTGCTCCTTTTCTTTCCTAATAAGTGTCTTAAACTTTTCGATTAGTGTCCCCTTTTCCTCTCATCATTAATGTGCCCCGAATTTCAAGCGACTAAGAGCAATTTCCCCAAAGCTCGCTCACTACACTCGCTCGTAGTTATAGATGTTATAATTATGTAACACTTATCAAAGATTTATAAAGTTTACCGTAAAGAGAATTATAATCCCATCAGGATTGGGTTTTTTCTCTTTATAAGTAGTAATTTTTCGCACTGCGACCTCATATATCTTAAAAATGTTCCTCGCTCGTAAATGAATTTTCAGACCATCACACCCAACTGCAAAGTATGATGCTTAAGCAATATCTTATATGATGTATAATGAGAAACAGATATTGAAATCATCCCTGATAATGTAATCACAATATAGGGGTATATACCAATGTCTAAAAAAAATTGTATATTTTTGCTTTGAGATTTCCCTTTGAAGGCGCCCTTTTTTCCAGAAAGTGCCCCTTTTTGTTGGTGCCCCCCCCCCCCCCAACTTTGGAAGTCGCTCCACCGCCTCTGAGAGAGATAGATATATATAGAGAGAGAGAGAGAGAGAAGGGGAGAGAGAGAAAGATAGAGAGAGGGAGAGCTTGATCAATAGATCTGATCCTATCCCTAAACCCAACCTAAAACAGAAACCCAAACACACATCTTGGACAAACTCTGTTGCCTGAGCAGTGAGTATCACCATGGATGCACATGCTTCAAGGCTACAAGGTTTTTTTACTCAACTTTTTGTGCATCCTGACCTAAACTCATGTTTAACATTTTTTTTTACATTTGTCCTTTTTTCAGGACATTTTTATCAGGACTTTTCAAAATTGGTCACAATAACAGCAATACTCCATAAATTACTGCAATTTACCATATATCTCAGCACAATTTACTACAAACCTCACATCTATCTCCCCCCCCCCCCCCCCCCGGTGTTTCCTTTACTTTTTTAGTTCATATTTGAAGTATATTGATTGCCTTATCAAGCATCTACTCTCCTGTATGATTTATGCAAAATAAATTACTATGGATTTGGACATTGAATTGAATTGAATAGAGAATAGAATGATTGATATAGACAAATTAACAAAGTAAGGTGAGTGACATGGAATTACAAAAACTCAGTACAAACTAAGACGACAGAACAAAATGAAAATACTTTAAACTTTGTGTTTTCTCTTGTATTTATTATCACTATGTGAGCATCAATTAGCTCTGTGCTTTGTACAACTTCGACAAATATCTCTCAACTATACATTATACAGCATATCAAAAATTCTGTACACTCTTTTCTACATGTGTCCACCTTTTATCAAAAAAGAAGAATTATTTGGTCATTTTTCAAAACTTGACCATAGTATGTTGACTGGTTCTTTCATACATTCCCAATCCTCCAATAGAAAAAATTATGAGTATAAAATAAAACTAAAATAAATCAAAACAAGACTTTTGAAAACAGTGATCAGTTAAATCTCAACCAATAGCAATGTGCATTTCAACTGCAACTTCAGTTTGGATTTATATCATTCCTTTACGAACACCATAACTTAAAACATAAATTAAATAATACCTTTAAAAAATATTTGCACTTGACATTTATAGAAACAGAAGGAAAACAGATGCACTTCTCTGTGAAAATTCTCATAAAGAAATAATCATAAACTTATAATAAGATCACAATGATTTAATCTTGCAGGAAAAATGGCTAAAAGCAATTATCCATACATTGGTCTTTGTATTCATTTTCTAGAGTGGTATTATCAACCCAAAACAGCATTGAAAGGAATTGAGGGTACATTAACCCTTGAAATCCCTGAAATTTCTTCTACATGGTCTATACAAAGTAGCACTCACACATCATACAAAATCTTTATGTAAGTTGATGTTTCAATGTTCAATTCCAAAAAATAGTAATTTAGAATTCACACTTTAAGATAAAGATTTTGAGTTCATTAGCTCCTACACCATTACATCAGGGATATATATGTAATCTTTAAATGCAAGTGTTATAACACTAGCACCGGACACTCTCACACTGACTGTTGGTTGGGTGTCGAGTTTAATGAGCTCCTACACCATTACATCAGACTTATAAGTAATATTAAAATGCAAGTGTTATAACACTAGCACCGGACACTCTCACACTGACTGTTGGTTGGGTGTCGAGTTTAATGAGCTCCTACACCATTACATCAGACTTATAAGTAATATTAAAATGCAAGTGTTATAACACTAGCACCGGACACTCTCACACTGACTGTTGGTTGGGTGTCGAGTTTAATGAGCTCCTACACCATTACATCAGACTTATAAGTAATATTTAAATGCAAGTGTTATAACACTAGCACCAGACACTCTCACACTGACTGTTGGTTGGGTGTCGAGTCTAAGCACCACAACCAAGAGACTCATAACGAAACATTTGTTGAGCTGCACAACACAAAGTTTAAAGTGTACTTATCTCCTGAAAAATAATTTCTGTATAGCTACAACGTATAAAAACAACCTTTAAAAACACTTTACCTTGCATTCTATAGGTAAACAGTTGATTACAATACATAGGGCTCGCGCGAAACCCAAGTGCTAGCTCACCAGCCCTAATCAGGGCTCTTTATTCCTCTGAAGTATTACATTGTTTAATCCTGAAAACTACCATAATTAACGTTGTATAAACCCCCCTCGTGTATTAACCGCACCCCTTTTTTTCGCCCTTAAAAAAAAAAAAAAAAAAAAACTGTCGGCAGCAAGCCAGGTCCATGTTAAAAAAACCACACGGGAAGGCCGTTCATTTGACTGCGAGGTGCAGTTGAGTGTGTAAGATCGTTAATGTAAATTAAAAAACAGTAGAGGACCTAGGATAGAACCTTGTGGTACGCCGTGTTAATAGAAGAAAAATTGGAGGAATTATTATTATAAACTACATATTGAGATCTATCAGAAAGATTACTTTCAAACCAAGATGACCGACAAATTTGAGTGTTGTTCTAGTTTCCGAGTGGTGAGTCAACACAGCGATTACTGAGCTGGGAGACATTGCCAGGCATAGCACCAGGTGGAGGAGCATAAATCAAAACTTAAAAAATAAAAAAAAAGTGCGGTTAATACAACGTTAATTACGGTACACCTACAATTCAGTTTCTCCACCATGAAAAGTATCACTGATACTTATAAATCAGAGTTATACAACAGTACTAATTCGCAATCAAGTGCATAATAATGGTGTCATATTTTCTCAAAATTAATCAACTTTGGACCATCTTAATTACATATTCAGTATTTGTTCTATAATCACATGGTCAAAAAGTTTTATATTTGTATACAAAACATGACAAAAATAGATAAATAATGTACAAGTTGAAATGTAAGTAGAAATCCACAAAATCTACAGCAATTTATCACAAAGCAGAAATGTAAAACGTAGAATAGAAGAAAAAAAAAAGGTCCATGGCAGGCAAAAGGCAGTGATCAAATCATCTTGTAATATTTTGGTCCAAATGATAAGGACAACAGGAAAGAAAAAACATGATAAAAAAAGGGACGGGGAAAGGGAGGGAGAGAGTAATAAAGGGATGCAGGCATAGTAACATAGATTACATTCATCTACCCAACAATTTTCATTTCTATGCCTAACTCTTTTGTTACTGCTCTTTTTATACCATGGCACTGACATGGGGACGGTCAAAACAAGCACTTTAATTTGAAACTTTTGTTCAATTTTTAAACGTACAGCTCCTTTTCCTTCTCAAATCAATAATCAAGGTATATCATGATAAATGTTTGAAAAAAGGAGAAAGAAAGAAAAGTCCAATGAATAATACACTCGTAATCACTAAACAGGGTGTATAACGGAAAGAAAAGTCCAATGAATAATACACTTATAATTACTAATCAGGGTCTAAAACTGATGTAGCATGGTGACTTGACAAACAAATATTGCACAAAAGGACAAAATCATGATGGCATCACTTTAAAAAAAAACACAAACTTAATAATAATCCTGAATTTTCTTAGCTTTGGTTGACATGCTTCATATTCATATACATGTTAAATCACTTATGGGGAAAACATAAAACTGGTTTGAATAAATTGTGTGAATAAATTAATCATGAAATCATTTCAAAGTGGTGGTAGAATAAAGGCGGAAAACAAATATTTCAAAACTTCAAATCTCATTTGTAGGCAAGAATAATCATTTCATTGACCGAGGTCCTTTAAATACCAAAAACAAATTCAAAGGCAAACATCACCAAGACCAAGTAGATCAAAAACTTATCCACACCTTTTGATTTCCTTCAAAATCTTTATGTTTTGGGAATCAAACAGATATGACTAAATAAAAGAGAAAGCAAGAACGTTTCCACCCTCCATGCAAAGAACTACCAACATGTCATAAAACATACAATATCTCCAAACTATTAAATTCAAAGCTTAAATCAAAGAAGGAGGTTCATAAAAGGTAGAAGCAATGGCATGAGATTACAAAATGATCAAGGTTTTAAATGCATGTCCACTATCAAATAAAGAGCATTCCGGTAATCATAATCAAACAAAGTCTCTTGGGAATATCCTTTGGATTCAACTTTTTTTGAGGCACACAACTGAAGGCCTAAAACTATCAACCTTAAAAGCATCACTCCAATCTTCATATGCACAATCAGATTAAGTCTCTGTTCATTGATGAACTGGAAGGCTTAGCGTGGAATTGAAAATATACTCAAAAATATTTGCTATTCATGTGAAACGCAGGGCAGTTTTCATAGGTCCCCTAAAGGGCTAGGTGAGTAGAGAAGCAGAATCAGCCCCTCATGCTTTCACCGAGACTTCTAAATATGTCATAAGCTATCTTGATATAATAGCCTGGAGTCTCAAGCTTCGTTCGATCTCTCATTTATAATATCCACATCATTTGGTATCCCACTTCTATGTGAAGCAATCACAAAACTTTCTCCATTATCAATACGTTAAGATATGAGTATCCTTCCCTTGCTGCCAGACTATCCAAATATCTGAGCCTGCCTCCCTCCCGTCTTTAGGGCTATTTGATGCATCTCTGTGCCCTACTTTCAAACAATGCTTTACGCACTGGGATCACAGCTTATCTGTACACACTTGAAGCCACATTCCCCTTTCTCAGCAAAGGAAATCAGCTTATATCCCATATCATCATGAAACTTAGCTGGACGGATTAAACATTTATGATGACAAAATCTAACCTATCAAACATTTTTTTTAAGAGATATGAAGAACATGGTTTACATGCCCAGGGTTTTATTCCACGATGCAATAATGTATCTTGCATCTTGTTTTGATCACGAGACATTTCATTTTGATCATGTGACTCATTTTGATCATGTGACATCAGAGGCATGATTGGTTGAAGACCGTCATGTGACCGCTGCTAAGGTCTGTGATTGGTGTTTGGCAATTAGGGCATTCAGAAGCTTCAACTGTTTCTTGACATGCTGCAATTACAAACAAAATCAATGGAATATGTTAAAATGTAAAATGTTATCATTGGTACTACTGCTACTTCATGTAATACTTCTGTTAATACTACTTCCAAGTAGTCTATATAACCCTTCAAACTTACTGCACAGTGCTTAACATAAATAAATATTTCCTTGAGAGAATAAACTTTAAAAAAGATTCTCAATCAAATTCAAACTAGAAAGACATGGATAACACAATTAGTATCAATAATCATATCAACCACATTTGCATGGTTATCATATTTAGATCGAAATTGTGTTAAAACTGCAAAGCTAAACAAAATTGAGGAAAACGGGTTAATCGAGGAGAAGCAGATACTCTTTTCTTTACAAAATAGATGGTAGTTGGGAATATTTGTATGTGGTAGTGAAAAGAAAGTTGGAAAGAAATTTATTGAATAGTATTCATATTGATCCACTGGAATCCAAAGATATGTGGCAGATTTCTGGATATTCTCTCCATGATCGCACTGCACAGCAATGTCATTTTCCCACAACCTCGTATAAGTGCAGCTGTTCAATTTGGTTTACATGTACCGGTGGCACAATAGAATTAAATTCTGATTATTTCTTCACTTCTCATTTGATTAATATTCTAATAAAAGCAGAGAAGCGTTAACAGCATCCAGATACCGGCATCTCCAGTAGGGCCATGATCATCACAAAGTGGGCATTGTGGCGTGCGCCTGTATTCCAGCTAACAATGGAAGTTACAAACTGATTTAGCCGAGGACGCAGGTTCAAAACCGAGTCAGGTCTTTCGGATGGTGATGTTTAAGGTCGGTCCCCAGATATAAATAATAATACCTGATTGATACATGTCTGTAAAAACCTAATTTCACAAAAACACACAGCAGCTTAGATCAACTCAAAAGCAAAGAAATCTGATGATTTTTTTTTTGATTTTTTTATTTTTAAATTTTTTTTTTAGGGGGGGGGGGGGGGGGGGGGGCTTGCCAAAAGTGTACATAGGGTTTGAGAGTGTAGAGTTATCCTGGAATAGTGGTTCATTCACTTGACTCTCAATCCAAAGGTTGAGGGTTCGAATCCCAGCCAGGCACCAATGTCCTGTGGCAAGACATTAATCCACATTTGCCACTCTCCACCCAGGTGTAAATGGGTAGCTGGCAATTGCTTTGGTAATATTAACTACAGGGCCCTCAGGAAGAAGAGCATACATGCTAATGAGCCTTCCCTGGTAGTAAACACAACTACTGTTATTATCATTCTAAAGGTATATACCAGTTTTGGAAACGCCCCCCTCTCAAAAAATGAAATGGAGGCTCTTATTACCAATCTTGTGAAAGAATATGTTTTGACTGATACGTGATGATACAAATTTTGCCAGGAAACCGCCTACTAATTGATATATTTGGTAAATTATTACATCTATCTGGACCGGATAGATATTGCGCATGTGTCGCGTAGTCCCAGATACATCTTTCTGTGTACAGTGCTTGTAACTTTACCAAGACTGGGCCAAATTTCTAATCATTTTGATGATTCCAGAACCTTGAAGTACACACCAATACTTATATGCTAGATGATCAACCTTTTCTGATCGATTCCACAACGTTTCTTTCACAATCCAATCGCATGACCAGACCTGGTCTTTATCTTTAAGAGTGACTATACCTTGTACTGTACATATTCCATCTCCATAGGACTTCGGTCTTCCTTCTGAACTCTCTGACCAGTCTCGTGGAGAAAATTCTCTTCAAAGTCTTTCAGAACTCTACGCAGACGTCTTTTCTCATCCAAAGATTGGTCTCTTCTTGTCTGAAGTTCTTCCCTGAATAGAGAGAGAGAGAGAGAAAAAAAATATTGACACAATTATTAAGTGGCTAATTCATATTGGCTGGCTTATAATTTTAATGCACCTTCTAATAGTACATAGATATACTGAAGTAGGAATCCAATGAAATATCACAAATATTCAATCGCTGATGTTGACCAAGAACCAAAAACACACAGAACTCCATCATGCTCTCTGTTTAAATAATCAATGCTTTACAAATCAAATAGGCACATATCCAGAAAGAAAGGAAAACACACAAACTTACAGAAAATATTCTCCAAAATAACAATAATTACGGCCACGTCCGCCTTTAAACAATTTGTAAATAAACTTTACTAAAGTGAAACAAGAAGATCCAATCCAATCACTTTTTCATATACATGTAGTCAGTTCCTTTTCCTTACAGATACATGTATACTTGACATGTCTTTAAGCCACCCAAACAACAGTTCATCATTTCTTTAGCCATAATGATTTGAAATTTGATTGAAGGTGACTTACAATGATGCCTCATGGAAGGAAGCGCTAGCCGGGCTGAACGGAGAATCGTTCCTGTAACTATCGTTAGGACTCACACAAACATCATCATGGTCCGACGGTGACCTCCCAGATGACCTCTGACTTGGTGACACCATCTGGGTCACACGGAAGTCTGTTGTGCAAAACATGTCGTCTTCTTCATTCTCTTCTTCACCCTCCATATCATACTTACTGTGAACGAATCCCTGTGGAGAGGAAAGAGTGCTTGGTGTGAACAAACCCTTAGGTACATATAATCACACAATTTCTCATTTGGGATCTATTGATATTCACACAATATATAATCTATTTGAATGTGAATGGGTTATTGTATAATTAGAATCATACAAGAAATTTTTGTAAAGCGATTTCCAGAGATTTTGAAACAGGCACCAAAAAAATCTGGTTTTAAAATAACGATTCCTAGACAGACCATTGACTTCAATATTATCTGGTCTCTGTACAAACAGAAATTGTAAGAAACCGGGTAAAAGTGGTTCTTGCAAAGGCATATTCACAACAGAACTTAAAGAGTGAGATTTATAATACAAGTATCGAATTCATTCTTTAAGTTGTGTTGTGAATATTTTTCTCAGACAAGAGAGAAAATGACTTTTAAGTCATCAACCATGCAGCTTTATAGTATAGAGGGGTAAAGTGTCTCCAAACTTTCTAAATCAAGAAAGAAGAATCTAACACTCACCATATGTTTAGGAATGAAATCTCTTGTCTCTACATGCTCCTCTATGGTATTCAAATCAGATGGGCTCGCCTCTTCACTAATGCTTCTTCTTAACTCCTAAAAGACGTAATAAGTCAAAGTATGTCATCTTTCACTATAACACAGGGGTTTCGGAACTAAAATAGCTTTGGGCACTAACATCCCACAAGATTGCTGTATGTCAAAGTGGGCAGCAAATATATAAAATGCAAATGAGTAAAGGTATACATTCCTACATAATATGAGTACTTATCAATATACATTTACAATTGTCTTTCTTATACCAAATCAGCACCATGATTCGAGCTGTCCCCGTTGACTGTCTGGTGTAGCATAAGCTGGTGTAACATCCTTCATATAGAAGTGCATAATCATCTTATATTCTCTCACAAACTTCTTCCACACCAAGTAACATATCTTTCAATGAAAAGTGAATCCTAATCCACTCCCATAGATGTAAATGCAATTAGATTCAATATAAACCCTCTATAAGCCATCACAACAATGCACTGATCTTATATTACCTTGTTCTTCATGAGTTTCTTCAAGGTGCGGTAGCGGTCATACAAAGGTTTCATCACCTAATATAAACCCTCTATAAACCCTCTATAAGCTATGATCCTATATTACCTTGTTCTTCATGAGTTTCTTCAAGGTGCGGTAACGGTTATACAACGGTTTCATCACCTAATATAAGCCATCTATAAACCCTCTATAAGCTATGATCTTATATTACCTTGTTCTTGATGAGTTTCTTCAAGGTGCGGTAACGGTTATACAACGGTTTCATCACCTAATATAAGCCATCTATAAACCCTCTATAAGCTATGATCTTATATTACCTTGTTCTTGATGAGTTTCTTCAAGGTGCGGTAACGGTTATACAACGGTTTCATCACCTAATATAAACCCTCTATAAGATATAATGTTATATTACCTTGTTTTTCATGAGTTTCTTCAAGGTGCGGTAGCGGTCGTACAACGGTTTCATCACCTCTTTGGAAGCTCTTGATGTCTGCCACAATAAAGAAAGAAAGAAACAGAAATGAACGTCAAGTTTTCTGTTACTAGATGCCATGAAATAGTGAGTGTTTGAGGTAAGTAATTATTTGAGTGTTTGAGTTCAGTAATGATTTGAGTGGTTGAGTTCAGTAATGATTTGATGGTTGAGTTCAGTAATGATTTGAGTGTTTGAGTTCAGTAATGATTTGAGTGTTTGAGTTCAGTAATGATTTGAGTGGTTGAGTTCAGTAATGATTTGAGTGGTTGAGTTCAGTAATGATTTGAGTGGTTGAGTTCAGTAATGATTTGAGTGGTTGAGTTCAGTAATGATTTGAGTGTTTGAGTTCAGTAATGATTTGAGTGGTTAAGTTCAGAAATGATTTGAGTGTTTGAGTTCAGCAATGATTTGAGTGTTTGAGTTCAGTAATGATTTGAGTGTTTGAGTTCAGTAATGATTTGAGTGGTTGAGTTCAGTAATGATTGTTGCTCTGCAGTCATGCTATCTCCATGGATATTGTACACTACAAAACTGTTGATTTTCTGTTACTGAAAAAACGATGATACAAACCAATAGGATTATATGTATCTTGATAAATAGCAATACTGATCATATCTACAGCAGATGTATTTGGCAGAGTTTATACCAAAGACAGACTCCTTAAAATCCTTTACGCAATCACATATAGAGCAATTATTTTTGAAAGGGCAATAAGCTATCATCTTTCATATATGTTAAATTGTTGAGCAGTAAAGAGGACTTTGAATGCATCTATAGTAATATTAAAGGGTTGTCAATTCTACAGATTAACTATTTGCCTACAGGGACCAGTTGGATCCAGTATTAAGTCTATAGGTACCGGTTTAATTACAGAAGTTCTCTTACCGGCCTGCCATATTTACTCTCTAGTTGAAGCAAAGCTTTCTGAATGGCAACCTTCTCCTCTCTCACTTCATCCTGGTTCATTTCCTGATGATTGAGAGAGGGATAAAAAGAAAAGATTTATTAGTGAAATCAAGCAATACAATATAGCTACAAAAATAGCAACAAAATAGATGTATTGACACCACCACATCGCGCATTCAGTCTTAAAGGGATCGTTTAACAATGTTAAATCTGAGATACACGGCCCTACTTGTTATCACTGTCTGTGATATGGTGTAATGTTGAAGCCCTAAAAACATTGTGCTTCAATATGATCAAGAAGTGCCACAAAAAAGTAAAAATCTTTGAGTGACCGGTTTTACCATACTCGTTTTCCCCATTAGACTGTAGTGTTATGAAAACTGTTTGGCAAACGGTATTCAAAATTAGTAATTCCAATCATAAATATCTTGATAATCAGACAGACGATCGGGTTGTAAAAGTCATGGGGTTCCTGACTGACCTAAATGTTTATAATTATCATTGCAGCACGAGCTAAATCCAGAATTTTGTTTCAGAATCTGAGACAAAATTACCGGATCCCTTTAAAGAACTCTACACCTCACAAATGTTCAAGTCCTTTTATTGCAAATTAGAGTATGATGTTCTTTTATTATGATGATGATGATGGCCTCTTGCATAGCGCCAATGCTCGCCTCTGATGGGTGCTTGCTCACAAATTCATGAAATAAATATTTCATAAACAAACAAATTTAAAAAAAATTATGTCTAGGGCAATTTTCTCCACTTGGGTAGAGTGACAAATGTAGCTTATCAACTTGCCAGTGACGAGACTTGAACCAACAACCTGTGGATATGCAGGGGCAGATCTAGCTTTTTGCCAAAGGGGGGGGGGGGGGGGTTTTGTAGAGGTGTCGTTGACAAGTGGATATGTCACCGGACTGAGGATCACAAGGTCCGCGGGGGGTAGTGAGCACTAAAAAAAAAAAAAAAAATCCTTTTAAAATCACGCCGACAAATATTTTGCTCAGTGGGAGGGGGAGGGGGTGAAATCACGCCACTACAACACCTCTTTATAATTTTTATTGTGAAGAATGGCTACTCACCAGGACATCAAAGCCTCTCTTCGCATCATCTCGCTTCTCTTGGAGTCGTTTCTGGGCAAGGTTGAGGGCTTCTTTGAGACCAGATAGATGGGAGCCTTCCTCCACACCGTTAGGAGAGAGACGAGCAGGCAAGGTGCTGTGAAGAGGGTTCTTACTCTCTTTGGCTTCAGTCTTTAAGGCTGGAGACAAGGAGACACAATACAACAAGGTTATACTGTGTGTGGGCCTATCGTTGCATAGCATTACGCGTTAAAACGTGTATAGAGGTAAAGCCGCTTATCTCTAAAATAAAAGGAAGTGGGGAATCATGAAAGCCATAATTGACTTGATGAGAATGATCCCCAAATAGAGCGTTATAAGCCAGTTCATAGTTGCAGTATGAGCATGAGCAGATAAAGGTTATTGCAGACCAAATTGAGAAATATATGGAGACAAAATACTGGATAATGGTCATTGCAGACCAAATTGTGAAATATATGGAGACAAAATACTGGATACGAAAGCTCATGACAGTTATGTAATCATTATTTTTTTATGCACAAGCTGTGCACTGCATGATACACAGGTGGAATTATTCTTTTTGAAAAAGGGAAACAAAGGCTATTTATGTAGCACCTCCATCTCTGTAGGAGTGATTATTTCAAAATGTACAAAGTGGGATCTCTTCATGTTTTGAAGATCTGTGGATATTTGGGGTCAGTTGGGACATGTGATAATCGTGAACTGGTCTATTTATATACAGGTTTCACTGTAAATTGATGCATGATGTAGTATAGATTGAGTTTAATACCTTTGAGTTGTTTGGTTGCTCTCTTCAGTTCTCCAATCATCTTTCTGATCTCTGGTTGACTAAGCTTCTCTGTGTGACTAGGCTGGATAGGAGAAATTCAAATAATTCACATACAGTGTATCAGGACCGTTTCATTAAACTTGTTATCAATAACATATGCAAAATTTCAATGACAAATTTTCTCTTGGCCAATCAAATGCTACAATTTTAGTAGTTTATAACAGTTATTGTAACTTTTTATTGATAACAAACAGGGCTCGGGTCAAACAACCTTTGTTTATGTTTTCACTGATTTTGTTCCATTGGCACTGTTTAAATTATTTAACCATATCGTGCCTCACCAGCCATCTTAAAACCAAGATTGTTCATTGTCACTAAATAAATAAATATATTTATGTTCATTTGATAAAATACAACTTTACATACATGTAGATGATGATGATGATCATCATCATAATAATAATATTGGGTATTTCTATCCTCACACTCTAACTGCAAACCATGTGATCCACAGTCTGAAGACCTATCCACAAGACAACAACCTCTACATATGTACATGTAGGTTTAAAATGATCGTGTGATTCGCACAGTGTCTTTAAAGGCTCATCATGTGAAGAAACACAGAAAATGTCTACTTAAAACAAAGTGACCGACCCTAAAATCTTGAAATCTAGGGTCGGCTTTTTTTTTTTTATATCAAAAAATTTTGTTACCGTATTTTAGAGGGGAAAATGTAACTGAGATATATCAGCCCAAAGAGGGAAAAAAGATTTCCGACAGACGGACCCATGTTTTGGCACCTAAAGGGCAATACAACATCCCTTTTTTTTTAGGCCTAAATTTTTTTTTTTTTTGAATGTACACTGAATCCTTAATGAGAAACCTTAGATATTAGAAATAGAGATGGTACTAACCTTGGCATGGTATTGACTTTCAAACTCTTCTTCATACTGCTTGATCTTCTGCTTGAGGGATCTTACTTGTCTTGTCAATCTCCTGATGATGGACACCTGATCTTCTTCGTCCAGAGAGCTCTCTGACCGCTTGCTGGAACTGACCATCAAATAGAAACAAATAATCATTATATCATAGTAATAATGACAATAATAAGAAATAAGAATAGAGTGAGACCTACATATCATCTGCTTGAAGCGAGAAGGAGTTTACCTCATATCACCGAATGCCCTTTTGGCAATAATGACAATAATGACAAATAAGAATAGAGTGAGACCTACATAACATCTGATGAGAGTCAGAAGGAGTTTACCTCATATCACTGAATGTCCTTTTGGCAATAATGACAATAATGACAAATAAGAATATATAGAGTGAGACCTACATAACATCTGATGAGAGTCAGAAGGAGTTTAGCTCATATCACTGAATGTCCTTTTGGCAATAATGACAATAATGACAAATAAGAATATGTAGATCGAGACCTACATAACATCTGATGAGAGTCAGAAGGAGTTTAGCTCATATCACTGAATGTCCTTTTGGCAATAATGACAATAATGACAAATAAGAATATGTAGATCGAGACCTACATAACATCTGATGAGAGTCAGAAGGAGTTTAGCTCATATCACTGAACTAAACACAGCTAAGGCCCTTCTGGCTCCAAGCAGATAACAAGTCGAACCCTGAGAAGCACACATAGTGAAAACACACAATCTGTCATGACTGGTGTAAATGGCATGTCAAGTTGGCTGTTAGGAAACTCAAATGGCCTTTGTATTAAAGCAGGTGAGCTTTCTATATGTGTAGCAATTTTTCAGCAGGTTTGATTGTACCTCCATTAAACAGGGATGAAAATTGGTTTACCGTAATTAACGGTGTATTAACCGCACTTTTGCCGCCGAAAAAAATTCAAAGTCAGGGGTGCGGCTTATACACAGTACCTGGAGCTATGCCTGGCAATGTCTCCCAGCTCGGTAATCGGTGTGTTGACTCACCACTCGGAAACTAGAACAACACTCAAATTTGTCTGTCATCTTGGTTTGAAAGTTATCTTTCTGATAGATCTCAGTACGGGTATGTAGTTTATAATAATAATTCCTCCAATTTTTCTTCTATTACATGGTGTACCACAAGGTTCTATCTTAGGTCCCCTACTGTTTTTTAATTTACATCAATGATCTTACACACAAAAAAAAAATCTCGGCAAAAAAAAAGTGCGAAAAAGAGGGGTGCGGTTAATACACGAGGGCGGTTTATACAACGTTAATTACGGTAAACCAAAAGATAAGACGAGATACCAACATTGGTAGGAATGCCAAGTTCTGCATTTCTGCAGGAAGAAACGAAAATACACATTGGCAGAGCCTGAAATCAAGAGACGAACCACAGGTTTGACCAAAGTAAGCTTTCCAGAACCCTGTGTATTTCACCCATAATGTATCACTGCATCTGTGTGGATGGATTCCACATTGCATACAATATATGTTGCAATATCAGGCAAGCCTCTGACAAACTATCGCATTGTCGTTAGAAACTTTTGAGAAGATGTGTGGATACAAATTTGAATACAGCATTAAAGAATTGTCTGAAAATTTGTCTGAAAATTTGTCTGGAAATGGAGTGGAAAGGTAATTGTTTAAAAAAAAATGGAATCTGTAATATCTGTACATTCTTTTTTCAAGGTTTCAGTAGAGAGTCACGCAAATAAAAATGAGTAAGCTTTACAATGGGTTTGTTAAAGCAGAGCTCTTTGAGAATTTAACAGGGTAAAGGAAATGGTACGCAAATAAAGGCATGTGGCGTAAAAGAAAAAAATAAAGATTTAATGAAAGAAGAGAATGATAAAGAAAAGGAAGAACATCAAATAGAGAAGCAATAGCAAAAGAACAGAGAGGGAAAAGAAAATCCAGAAAATCCAGAACATTGGAATTTGAATACAAAGATATATCTACTGTCCTGCCCCAATATTTTTTCCCTCTTGAAATTATGAGAGAGGAAACATGAGTATACACATCGCAGATACAATTGAGAATGATTTATTGAACAGATACAAAACAAATAAATGTAACAATAAATTTTATCAAACTTGATTAAAATGAAAATAAAGGATGGTACCAATAAACTTAGTGTTACGGATGACAAAAATCAATTTCTTCTCTCTTAAAACTAGAGTCATTTCAAGAGAGGAAACATATATCAACTTCTTGAACAGATATCAACAAAACGTGACAATGAATTCATCAATTTGGTTAGAATAAAGTAAAGGAATACCAAAACTGTTATCAACATCAATGTTTTACCACTAGTATAAATGTAGTGTTACTTTATAGCTGTTAGAAAAAAATCAATGTTTAACCACTAGTATAAACTTAGTGTTACTGAAGACAAAAATCAATATCATAAACATGTACTGATAAATTTTTAATGTTCCACCGTATAACACATGTACATGAAACATGTAATGATTAATCATGTATTATCAGAGGATCATTTCTGCCAACATGAGCTTCCCAGTATGCACAAATAAGAACACTAAAGAGATGAGTTAGTCCAACTTTTCATCGAAAAAGTACAGGAAAATGACACAAGAACTGAAGACAGAATGCAAGTTGATTGAGGTAAGGAAGACTTGCCTTCTCTCATTTTTCTAAGAAGAAATGGAATATGACGTCTGGGAATTAATACATATCTGCCTATAATCAAGGTGAACTACTCATTTTCAACATTCCACACAATTGTTTAAGAAATGATATTTTGTATCTGTACCCTGCCCTGAATTTGTTTCATATCCAGGCCTGGGAGTTGGCAAGTAGAATGATGCTCACTTGCTCAATTGTAAAGCAAAGGGAAAGTGGATCTCAACAATGAAAACATATCCATAATATATTTTCCACATTCATCTGACCATATAGAGTGCCATAAAGCACTTTCACATCTGATTTCATTCACAACTTCTTATTTCCTGAAACTTCCTGTATCCTTCGAAACTGACTAATCAGATTTGGAAATCATTACAATACACAATGATTTCAAAGACAACTAAAAAATAGTTTTCCTTCATCACACTAATTTCTTACTCATACCAACAAATTCCAAATTTTGACTATATTCATGATAAGCAATGAGAATAAGGGGAACTTTGCTATTCTAGCTTTCATGCAATGTGAAAACACACAAATATTTCACTACTCCCAGCATTAGGTTACAAACAGAAGCACAATTTGCAATGCTGTATGCTCTAAAGGAACATGTAGCACCATTGACTGGTATTTGAATGGCACAATAATAATGAAACATTTCTGAATTCAAAGATGATATGCTGTGTAAAAGCAACAGGGGTCTAACTCTGAACAATGAGGTCATATTCATCTTGTAGATACTAATTATCTTGTAGGCGCCTTGAAAATCTCTAGGGATGGATGTGGGCTTCATAAATATTGTCATTATTTATTAAATCATTATCAACTAGGGCTATACACTACCTTATTTAGAAAGGGGTCCGGATGCAAAATGTTTAAGTCTGTATGCAAGAGCCCTACGTAATAATCTTGATTTTTTTTTTTTTTTTTGGGGGGGGGGGGGGGGATCCAGACTTAGATTTTGGGTGCCCATGTGTCCCAGGCCCTTGTTACATGCAGTGTCGAGCCCTGTATTAACACATTCTAAAATACTTTGATATTGAATGTGCAAAGACTTAAAAGGACCTGTTTTAAGTATGCTGCCCCTGAATTGTGAAATATGAAACGTGCGGACACCATAGATAAGTTCAAGACATCTTTAAAAACGTATCCCTTTTAATAAGAAGTGAATGAATCCTACACACAGGTCCTTCTGTGTAGAATATGACTGTGCAGTTGTTGTTTTTTCCTTACTTATACTAGTGTTTACTTCTTCTTTTTCATTTTTCCTACAGCGCATAGAGACGTTAACAAATCTATTATGCGCTTTATAAGAAGTGTATTATTATTATTGAATTTTTTTATATAAACAAAATCAGAAAATCAGAAACAATGAAATGATTAAGATCAAAATCATGGATATAGTAATAGTAAAAAATGAAAAAATCAGTTGGATTCATGAAGCACTTTTCCATAAGAATTAAATGATATTTTACCCTAGCTTAATCGTCGGACTACTAACAACGTACATTAAAGCCCTTAAGCTGAGTAACCATGATGAGGCACTTAACTTAAGCATTCATGAATTTGTATTTCCTACTAGAGTAGAAAGAACTCTAAAAATCTAAATACTGCTACAATCTCTAGGGCAAATTAGACTATGGTAATGGATCCGGGACAACTCAGCCCCGCCCCTGCAAAAACGGGGACGAGTTGTCCCGACATGATTCATCGATCAAGAGATACCAATGTGTATGTACTTAATAATGCCCTTTCCAACCACAATCTTTGCATATGTATGTCTACTGGTATAGAGCTATGAAGACATGGATTATATTGTCAGCGTTATTACGAACCGCCTAATTCGTAATATATATTACTGTATGGATTCGTCAGTTCTTGATAACGTGGACAACATACATGTATATTAGTGTATGGGATATTAAGCAGGAGGTTCATTCAACAATGATCAAATGAATATGTTGAAATGAATACAAACTATAAACAGCATCAAATTAGTCAACTGTATTGCCACAAATAAAGATAAAATGAAATGAAATACATGTACATCAAAATCTACAATGAACTGTATTTAAAAAAATTCAATAATTTACTAAATTAGTCCAAATTAAACAAATTCTCATTTGAACATCAACTGCATATTTACCAGTACATGTTTGTGAACAGCTCTACAGCCTTGTTAGTTAAGCTTGGTGATGACTATGATTAGCGAAATTAGGGGATGGCAGATATTTTCAAAAAATAATGAAAATAGATCTATTAGGCATGGTTTACAGGGGAAAATGGGAGGCAGGGGGAATCCTCTCTTTTGTATACATCAGCAAAGCAAAATGAGAAATTGGTAATTCAATTGAACTTCAAATCTCTTAATAAAATTTGTCAACATTTGAATGGGAACATATCAAGGCATATTTTGCTGTACAAGTTCTCTTTTGTTTTCATTAAAAAAAAAAAAAAAATTACATTTCATCCATTTGCTTTTCTGCTTTGTTTCTACATATTTCACAAGCACATGGCAGGGGGTTTACAAGCAAAGCAATTTTATCCTGGAACTATTTTGTACATTCGTCTTTTTTTTCAATTCATGATAAAATCTGCTCATTGCCTTTTTGAATCCATGATGGGGCTACCATCTGATCATTTAAATGATTTGTAACCACTTTTATTTTTAATAAAATATTTGATAGTTAAGGTCTCGAAAATTGGTATCTCATCTACCTAGAGACGCTTGACGACCCACAAGACTGAAGTCGGTCTAGTGAAACCTCAAGAGACAAATATCTGCATCAGTCTTATGAGCTGTCCTTCTAATGGGCATTCTGAGACCTACATATCGGCTTCTTGGGGTGAAAGCCGGAAACTGCAGAAGCAATTATACTTCATTATTCCTTTCACTTAGACTGGGACCCTATATGAAGTAAGGTCTAAAGCAATGAATGTTTTACAGAATCATGAAACATTTTACATGGGTTTTCAATGGGTCAGTTAATAATGAACATATATGAAGCTGCATAGCATGGTAATAAGGATCTTGCCGGTTTATTAACCATTTGCTGCTGCATGCAACAGGCCCAATTTTCTTAAGGGAACCTGTAAATTAATGTTGCTCCTTTTTATTAGAGTCTTTAAAAAATAAACCAAAGAATACTTGTCACCGGAGCTCCATATCACCTTTGCAGAAATTTGATCACGAAATATGCCAGAAATTTGATCACGAAATTTGCCAGAAACTTGTTACACATTTCTCCCAAGTCAAACCCACAAATTTCATAAAGAAAACTAATTTAGGATGCAGGCCTCTATTCACGATGCATAATTTGCCTTTTGTTAACACATGACGTGATAAACTGCCTAAACAAACTGCTGCAATGAAAAAAAAATTATGTAAGTGTAGTGGTTTCACATTTCTGTTCCTTAAAAGACTCAGAGAGGCAAGTTTCGGGGGCTTTGTTGCGTGCGGCTGGCTCTTCACCACAGGCATCTGCTATTCATTTTAATACGCATAAAATGTTTTTATTCTGCCGCTGTATTTTCTTTCAAGACATTTTCTTTTAAAGCGATTTAAGAAGTTTTGGTGATCTGGGCCTTACAGGAAACATGGTTCAGGCAAGAAAGCAGCAATGAAAGCTTGATTTTAAAACGATAAACAAAGAAAGGAATGATTTAGCCACGCACGGTACAAACCGAGGAAACATATCGTGCTTGGAAACAGGTGAGGGTGGCCCCTCCAGCGTATCCCATGAGCCACTGCAAAGGGAAGTAGGTGGAAGGAAGGATCAACGACAACAAATAAAGAGATCAAACACACCACACAAGGATTGATAGAAAATACCACAACATGAAGAAAATCATTTAACCCACATTAATAATACAGTCAAACCTGTATTAGCGACCGCCTCTCTATAAAAACTACCTGTCTATAGTGGCCATGCATTTTGTCCCCCTCGAGAGAGAGAAATTTGTATTATAGAAGCCGACTAGACAGGTCACCTGTCTACAGTGGCCACTTTTCCTTCTCCCTTAGGTGGTCTTTATAGACAGGTTTGACTGTATCTCAAAAAAATAATATACGCAAATATAACTTCCACACAATTTTTTTACTTGAAAGTTGCTGAAAAATCATATTCAAGGCCATGTTGCATAAGACTTACCATTCATGGTAACTTAACCATCAATATTACTACCATGGCAACATCACTCAACAGCCAATCAAATCAAGGTTTCCATGGAAATTATCATAATAGTAAAGTTACAACCAATGGTAAATTTTATGCAATGGACCCCAGAGCTATTCCAAAATTGTTAAAGAGTTCCAAATATAGATAACATGGAAATTAGGAAACGAGAGCTACAGTGCATACTTTCATATTGTCCAACTCATACATTGAAAAAACAACACCAATGTAGAAAGATAATGAGACCCATCAGAGATATATTATTCGTCCACAGATTAAAGATATGTAATGAACATATTCCAGAGTCTTAACCCAAATAATCCATGGCAAAATACCAGGTAAGGCTTCTTAAAATAGACCATTAATAATGGATACAAGAAAACTGATAATAGGGTAAAACTAAAAGAATAATCAGTATCATAACATTGAGATACATGTATGACAGTAACCAATTAATATTTCTTGAATGCTAAGACAGAAGTTAGTACCAAAATATTAGTAGAGAAAACTGTTTGTGGTATTCTGACACGAAAAACAAGTACATGTAGCTATTTTGCAATATCTGTCACCAAAATCGAAAAACAAAATAAAGCCAATTTTGCGAAAAACAAAACACAAAAAGCAATAGTAAGAGCGCAGGTATTTTCTTGTCTATTTGAGTACACTATACAGGCACACTAATATGCATAGGTGTATATACCATACAGAGAGAATATATATATAACGCATATATAATCACCTGCCAAAGGTGGGCGGGGCATCTTTAGCCCTGGGGGAGAGTGGGGCATCGTAAGGTTCATGTTGAAGAAGACTGTGGAACAAAGAATATACACACACAGACGCTCAACTCCACATGTTCAGTCAGGATTGGCAACACAACCAACCTATGAACAGGGTGGTACTCACACAAGAGGAAGTTTATAAATCTCTATCGATTCATAAAACAAGAAACAGTGCGTGAAGAATCACTGAATAACATAAGGGGTTTACATAAATGACAAGGAACTAGTTGAGGTCAGCTTACACAGAGATTATTGAATTTCAGATTTAAGTAAAAAATAAAGCTTGCCAGTCATATCAGCATTCTCTTTATAAACCTTGCCTAGTTATACATGTTTAGCTTTATAGTGCTCACATCGTTGATGGACCATAATCGTTTATTGATTTTTGTTTAAATCCGAAAAATGATAATCGACCTTTGCTTCCAAACCTGACGTTTTCTTGTACACGGTTCTAAACATGTACAATGTACAGACAAAGGCAAGGTCATTACTTTCATGAAGCTCAACAGATTGTATTTTGATAGCTGTATGATAAGTTTTTTATAAAGCTGAACAGATTGTATTTTGATCACTGTAATGGAGCTCTCACACTCTGCCGTGTAGGCCTACCGTCCACCTGCCGGGCTATTAAAAAAACAACAGAGTCCAGAACGTTGGGTTTTGAGCGAACTTGTCCCCGGCCGCAAAAAAAAAATTCATAAAATTAATCTTTTCACCGTTTCGTTGCCATCTTCTGACCGTTCTCACCGGGCGCATAGCGGGTGTTGAACGTGCTTCTACCGTCTTCACCGCCCAGATTGACTTTTGTTGAAAATTTTGGCCGTTTCCATACCGGGCCCATACCGGGTCTCGAACGTGTGCACCGGGTTTGTAGCAGCCACCTACCAGTCACTTAGCGTCCCCTCACCGCTCGGAGCGTCCTATGAGCGAGTCCCCGGACTGCTGACGTCACGACACGACTGCCATAAATACCCCGATTTGAACGGCAACGGTCAGTCCGCTCTCCATTTTTCATCACCGTTCTGTAACGGGTTATGAGCGTGTTGTGAACGTGTTCATACAGTGTGACCGTTTTCATAACGTATTCATACCGTCCTCATACCGTTCAACACCGTCCTCTTGCCGCTTACTTGCGGCCGGTGCCAGCCGGCCAAAGTTTTGAACATGCCCAAAACTTTCGCCGGGTCCCACCGGGTGTAAATAAGCGCCAACGCCCTATTAACGTGTTGCCCGCTTTGATAACGAACCACCGTGTGCCCTCGCCGTTCTCCACCGTCCGCAGACATTTTCGCGCACGGTGGCACACGGTAGGCCTACACGGCAGAGTGTGAGAGTCACTTAAGATAAGTTTTTCTAGCCAGGGGAGGATAGAGGTACATGGGAAGGTACAATTAATTGTGTTTGTGTGTTTGTGCTGGTGGAAAGGGAGTCTTGTCTAGTTTGCAGGCAAAAACCCTTGTTAGTCGCTCTGCGTAACAAAAAGTGTCAAATTAGTGTCTGTGCTTGCAGACTAGGCCTAGGCTGCATGTACATGTAGCCCATCTTTGTGATTAGTATATCTGTATGGTCAAAAATACCATCAGGTCTTGCTTTGTGATGGTAACAAATACTGAAATTGTAGCTCTCTGTGAACAATGAAAATAGATCTATAACTCTAGGAAAACTTAAAGGGCCACTCCAACCCTACTAACATAGCCTTTCAAAACATGAATACACCTCTACTTATTAATATTCTAGCCTCTGATTTGTCAGAATATCTCTAAATTGACAAAAAATGATAATAACCATCCATTTTTCACAGGTCTCACGCTTGCTGGGCTACGCCCCTCGAAAAAAGGTAATACGGCCACGTGACTTGATGACGCATTTGACGTCATTGCGGGAATGTCCGATTTGTCCTACAACTAAGGATCTTACATTAGGAATGACGAAATTGCCAGAAACATACTGGGATTATCAAGTCCATATTATTTTTCGGATGAATGTCTTTTTTTCCAATTAATATCATAGTTTGCCTTTTTAAAGACATTTTGATACCTAAATCGCCCTCCTTTTCACCGGAGAGGCTCCTGCAGTGACGTCATATGCTTTTGTGCAATACAGCTCCGAAACTGGGCTTTTTTTTCCTGAGCGTTCTGAGTCATCATTTTTAAAGTTAGATTCCAGAATTATTGATGATTTCTAAGAAAAATCATTGTCATGTTTGGTATCTCCGTCAAAAATTATTCTACATGTCTTTTTTTCCTCCATTTTTTAGCCCGTTTTGGTTAGAGTGGCTCTTTAAAAGATATGTGCGTGTAAGATAACATTCATGTATAGGAATAGGGTGCAAATTCCTAAGTCCTCTGAGAGCTGGATAGGACATTGATTTGTATGTAATATAGATTTAAGGTCAGGCACAGCTTTGGTAAGCCCTTAAAAACTATTTGTTAGATTTCTTTGATTTTAAATAACAAATAGGAGGATACTAGCAATACTGAGCTGCTGTGAAGCTTTTCCTCTTCAAGGGAGATAATACACAAATGAGACAAACAAAATGATTCAAATACCATCCTGGGATGTAAAGTCTAGCAACCTGCACTACACAGGTGTAAAACCATAGGGGATTGTGTATCTGCTGAAACGCTGAGAGCGATGTGGGGAGGGAGAGCCATCAGGGTTGAAGGGTCAGTGACGGGGAGTGTATAGCCCTTATCTAGCATTCCTTGCAGATATTTTCACTACAACTCACCAGAAATCTCTCTCTCCCTCACACTCCCTTCTCTTCTCCCCTTCTCTCTCCACTCCCTCTCCCTCAACATTCCTTTTCTTCTTTCCTTATCTCCCCGCTCCATATTTGCTTTATTTCTGTCTTCCCTTTATGAGTTTAATTGAGGTTCTTGTCTTTGAATTATTGTTAAATAACGAACTGTAAATATGATGTTTTTTTTAAAATATTTTTAAAATAAAATCTCTGTAAATCATGCATGCAATTCAGCCATTGGCTGCGATATGTTGATGAATAAATACCATACTATACTACTATAGCATACCAAATGATCTTGCACATACAAATTGTCATACAATGAGAACAACACCAGACAATGTTTTACATGCTTCTTTCCAATTTCCTTTTTGCAACCAAAACTGTACATGAATACTTCTAGCTCCCTCCCAGTCCCCAGCCGATACTTGTGATAAGGGGATTCATAAATATCTTGTATCTACAGGTACAATGCAGTTTGAGGTAACTTTCTCCCTCACTACATGTACAATGTATTTGTCTGGATTCAAAATAATCAATGTTTCAAGGGTAAGATTAATTACACTGCATTTTAATTTTAATCAGCTATCAAGTTTATGGTACGGGGTAACGGTACATGGTAACGGTACATGGTAACGGTACATGAATAGAACAGGATAGAAAAACATATTACTTGATTAAAAAAAGGATAGACAGAGAGAAGGCGAGGGAAAACAGGAACACATCTATGAGGGAATTAATGAATGCATGCAACTAAAAGATGTTGGAAATTGCACAAAACAGGTTTGAAAATAAGAGGGATATCTGATTTGAAGGTATTGATTAATTTGACAGTAGGCCTATAGGATGGGTCTAGTCAGACGGCCAAACCAACTCCATACCGATTCCAAACTGACCCCTTCTTGACCATTAGAGGCATTGTGATTTCTTGTTCGGTCTGGGGTCGGTCTCGTTGGTTTGACTGGGCTAGAATGCATGTAAGGTTCATCTTAATTATTTCACTAATGCAACAAGTAGGATGCTGTTTCTACAAGTTTCACTTAACCAGGACTCAATCAAAATGAAAATGTATTCCAAAGGAGTACAGATGAAAATATGCGGAATAAAGGCTATTCTGTGGGTAAATATGACACTGCAATAAAACCATGCTAATACAAATCTACTGATTAAATATCTTCAGAGATACAGAGCAAAGAAAACCATTGAATAATAATACAGGAATTGGGGGGAAAAATGGAAAGAAAAATCTAGAACCTATTCTTCTTCCCGTGTCAACAACAAAAAGATTAAAAGACTTGAGGATAAAAAGCTTTGACAAGACGAAAATTAGTAATATGGTAAAATCTGAATTTCCAAATCTAGAGTGGAGAGATATGATCTATCGATCCTACACTCTCTACATATATTAATGCTATCAAAGAGTAGAGTTGAGAGAAGCCTTCATAACTAGCGAGTGTATAAACATGCCTACATATGCCAATAATGCCACAGGCACCTCGAAGCAGAGACAAATAAGAGACAGAATAACAATATGGGATGGTTGGAAATAAATGACACAGCAACTCATCTTGTTAGAAAAGGTGTACTACAAAAATTGTGTTTTACAGGAGTTAAAAAAGTTGTGTTGAAGCTAAATATAAACAAACCTGGTTATGGTTTGAAGCTTCTCAAGCCTAGATAATGTCTGGGGACCTCCTTCCATTCCACTCTGTCCTTCTCCTTCTCCTCCTCCTCCTCCTCCACTCTTTGGGGCTGCTTGCTGACTTTGCCATGCTAATACAGCTTCTGAAAAATTAAGCAAACATGAAACAAGATATGAAGATGAAACATGAAGATGCTGCTTGTAAATATCGGCTTGCATGGTGATGTACATATACGATGACGATGACGGATAGTCAACCTGTTCGAAACGTTGAGCCACTCCCGCCACCCATCCTCTCCAATCGGCGCTAAGTTCTAAGTTCTCCTTAGAAGTTTAAGCTAAGAAAGATAACCAACAGTCTTTTTCAAGCCTACACCAACGGTCCTTTTCAGGACTACACACCCTCAAGAAAGATTACCGAGAGTCCTTTTCAGGACTCCTCAATCCTCCCTCTCTCTCACATGGTGCACCCGCAAGCCTACTGTATAAACATGAAGATGGTAACAATTGCTGACTTGAAAAATTGTATCAACAATCAAATCCTACTTGGACAGTCTAAGATTCTACTAGCCAATCAAGACGTGGAAACTGTTGCAGTCATACTGCTGTATATGAAACAAGGCAATTATTCTTTAAACAAATGGAACTTTCGTTTGGATTTTATTGAAATAAATTGTTTATTTGGATACTTAGTTATGAGTATGAATCAACATGTTTGCACATGTTCTCAAGACATATTCTTACTGCAAAAACGTTGGGCCAGCTCTCTTAAAGGGATCCGGTAACTTTGTCTCAGATTCTGAAACAAAATCCTGGATTAAGCTTATGCTGCAATCATAATTATGAACCTTTAGGTCAGCCAGGCACCCCATGACTTTTACTAGCCAATCGCCTGTCTTATTATCAAGATATTTATGATTGGAATCACTAATTTTGAAAACCGTTTTCGAAACGGTTTTCATAACACTACAGTCTATTGAGGAAAACAAGTATGGTAAAACCGATCACTCAAAGATTTTTACCTTTTTGAGGCACTTCTTGATCATTTTGAAGCGCAATTTTCTTAGGGCTTCAATATTACACCATATCACAGACACTGATAACACATAGAGCCGTGCATCTCAGATTTAACATTGTTAAACGATCCCTTTAAGGTCTATTCTTCGACTCACCATGACCATCAGTATCAACATGCAGACCGGCCAAATCCAGAGGGGGTACCACTTGTCCTCTGAGAGAATTAGGTGATGGATTCTTTCGATCCTCTCCTTTCAATCTTCTGAGTTCATCCTCCATCCTACCATCCCTCATCTCTTCATCTCTCCTCCTCCCGTCTCCTCCTCTTTCGTTCATTCTCCTCGCCTCTCCTCCATCATGCCGTCTCTCATCTCCTTCTGTTCTCCTCCTGTCTCCATGACCCTCGGAGACACCTTCCGTTCTCCTCCTGCTTGCTTCATCCATCTCATCATCTTTCGCTTTGCCCCTTCTAGTTCTTGGTTGAGGTACCGGTTGTTCCCTATGCTGAGGTGTATCAATGTTATTATGTACCCCCCATAGCCCCCCTTCTCTGGGATTCCTGCTCCCCCCATTAGAAGGACTTCTCTGTCCATCTCCATTTTGTCTAAGCCAAACATCGTGATTCTGTGTCCTGAAATCAGAATTGTTGGATCGTTTGGCTGCCTTCTCTTTCCCGTTCGGAGAATCAAGGCTATGCTCTCCCTTTGCACTCCTGTAAATCAAATCAAATCATGAAAAGATTACAAGATTATCATCTGTCCCAAAGACTCCCAAAACATCACTATGTTTTCAATACAAACAATTCTATAACAAACAAAAGTTGAAGGCAATGGAGCTTATTTTGTCAAATTTTCAGGTAACAATATGATTGCTGGGCCTCCAGGAAGAAATATTTTCATACCGAGGGAACCCTGAGTAAAAAAAAAAAAAGGGGGGGGGGGGACTTCCTTATTAGCATTTATTATAGGTTATTTCACTATATAATAATTTTGTAATGTATTCGTTTAGAGCATCCATTTTTTTTTTAAATAATCATACTTTTTACTATAAACTATATATTTACGTAGTTCTGTGTTAAATTTGTGTTGTTATGTATTAAATGTGATGTTATTTTATGTACCTGTATAATGTAGGGGTTCCTTGGAAAGCAGGCCATTACATTTATTTTTTGGCTTGAATGGAACTACCCTACTGAAATAAAACTTAATAAATGAATAAAATAAATAAATATCTATTAGGAGGATATGAGAGTAAGATTGAGATTTGTACCTATGTTTCTTTGTAGGAGATCTTCTCTTGGGAGGTGCCACTCTACCTGCTGTTAACTGCAAAAGAAAAGAAAACATTAAACATAGGAGTAAGATCAAGGAAATTATGAAAGTTACAATGAGTCTTTTCATTCATACTCAACACCATTTCATCCTCTCTCTCTCTCTCCTTTTTTTTAGAGGGGGGGGGGGGGGCTAATTATTTCTTTTTTTTAATAAACTATATTTATTATTATATATTATATAACATCTAAGAAGATCCATGTTATTTCATTGGAGGATTGTTGGTCACATGATATTCAATAGATAATCTATTAAATGACTATGTCATTGAGCGTGCATTTTTGGTTATGTTATATAAAACAAATGCAAATATTTTCATTGTTGCACCTTGTTGAGTAAAACGTTAATCTTTTAACTCATCAAAATATTCGCACTATTGAACTCACAAACATTCATTATTTGTATACTAAGTGTTATCTCAGTTACCTTTGTTAATAATGTTATCTCATTGATAACAATAATTCTTTTACATAAGGGAAACCTTGCTGGGAGCAAATTCTTAAAACAATTGGGTTTTGTTCTCTCAAGTGTTTACATCGAAAGATGGAACATCTTTAATATCTTATCGTATCATTGGACAGGGGCAGCAAATATAATAAGAAATGACTAACGATACATAAATAGAATAAAGAGGACTACTTTGACACAGGGGTATCATGTAGAGACCCTGTCAGAATTGAAAAATGTAAGAGATGGATTATACGTCAACAGAAAGATTATAAGCCATAGATTACAATAATATCAACTATATGCTATTTAGTGTGTCTGTCAGAGGATTAACAGCTCTCTGAAAACTCAAAATCTAAAGCTTTGAAAATCAGAAGCATCAACCTAAAAACTAGCTATCTCCTTGATGAAATCATTTTATGTGGATTACACATATTCACAATGACTTTGCATTAATTAAGCACGGCTCATCGCCTCAGGTATAAAGATGAGCCAATTGGGTCCACATGTTATGTTGTCACCGTAACTGCAGCAAAAATTAGGTTTTAATTTGCTTTTGTGCAATGCGGAAAGGGAAAATACAGTTATTCTTTTTTATTTGTAGTCTATGTTCATTCAGCTTTCCATTGATATAAAGTTGTATTTTCATCAGATAAGGTCTTTAAGGATTTACCCTGTAACAAAGGCCCTAGAAAACCTAGACGTGTTTATAGACAGCTGTCAGGGCTATGAACACAGGAGTAGGTGATATAAACAAACATTGTAACAACAGAACGCAAGACAATGACACATGCTGGAGGGTAAGATAAGGCTCTAATTCTACGGCATGTAGAGGCAGGATTGGACAAGTTATGCATCGCAAAAAGAACTGGCTATTCATAATACATGGAATATTAGTGTTGGATATAATGTAGAAGCAGAATTAGTACCATCAGTAGTACATTAATGGGAACTGTAGCAGTAAATCGCAGTAGTAGAAGAAATAGTAGCAGCAGTGGCAGAGGTGGTAGAAGGTAGTAGTGTATATTTAGTAGTGGTAGTAGAAGTGGTAGGAAAAAAAGTAGCAGTGATAGCAGCAGTTGTAATACTATTTGCACATGTAGTAGTTTTTGCGAGTACTCACTGAGTTTAATGTGCCTGAGTTGCGTTTGACACTGTCCAGTTCTGACTCTCCATCATGCGTTACGTCGGTCAAAGTCCCCTCTCGGGAAAGTCCTTCGCTCACAGAAGAAGAATCCACTAATCTCTGATTTGAGGAATCGTAAATAATATAATATAAATATTTCCAGTCCAACTGCACACACATGAGAAGTGCATTGACTTCTGGTTATGTGAATTGCTGATAATAGGGTATAAATATTTCCATTCTTACATTTTACGTTATCCTATATTTGATTTGATTTGATATGGTTTATTGATAAAAACATACATTCAAATAGCAGCCAGAGGCTGAAACAAATTGAATTTTCATATGCATGTAGGCCCTGTGCCTGTCTCTCTCATCAAAGTAATTAAGATCTATTTTCTATGTTTCCAAACTGCATAAAACTGCTATCATATGATTCAAATTGGAAAGTTTCAAAGACATACATAAGAAAGCACCATTGTGTGCATGTAAGCAACTTCTTTACAGAGTTTTCCTTTTTTTTAACCATAATATGTTTACACTAGAATGATATTGCCTCCTTTCGCTGCACCCTTTATCATCACATAAAAGTGTGTTTTTTAAAGATAAATTTCAAGTAAGAGTGCATTATTATATGTCCAAACAATTCACTGTAGTATAAGATCGCAATCTAACTCCTGTGACAATGGCTCACAGCTTCATTTCATCAAAGGCATAGTGTTAGGACCAGGGTTGAAGTTAAGAATTTGGTTTGTGTAGGAAATTAACATGGACCTGGGGGGTGTTTCTCAAAGATCTTAAGGCAAACTTGACTCTAAATTTGGCTTAAACATTATGGGCTGCCATTTGTAGCCCTAAAATAATATATATTCAAAAGCAAAAATTCAAGTATTTTAGACTTTTATAAATTCCACATCAAGAACATGAAATCCTTCTTGATAATAGAAAATATGAATGATTTGAATCAACATTCAATGCCTTCAAAAATAACTTTTACAAAATATTGTCATAGATGCTAAAGGCTTTCCATAATTGTTAAGTCCAACTTAGAGACAAGTTCAACTTAGGATCTTTGTGAAACACCCCCCAAGCGTCCTACAATCCATACCCTTTAGTAGTACTTATTAAAAGTTTTAAAAGCTTGAGTGTCTATCTACCTGTCCAATGATGATGCCCTGAGATTCAAATATATCAAAGGCTTTAGACGCTGGCCTGCCTTTCCTTCTGACTGGATGACTCTGATCATGTGACTTGCTTGATACCAGGGTGTCGTCGGAGAACTGCTGTGCCCTATTTTTGACCGATATACCTTCCCTCTCGGCGAATGAGTTGACTAGGTGCTCTAAGGAAGACTCTGAGTTACTTCTCCTACTGTAACGCGATATATGTAGTCAAACATCAAAATTAATCTCTTCAGGTTAAGTGGATTTTAATTCTATTATAGATTTAAGTACTTGTACATTCATCTATATACATACATATACTGAAATCACACATCAAAAACATTTAATACCTTTAAAAGTCACACATGTAGGCACTATTCACAAATATGAGCTATATTGACACAATATTTCAGCTTGATTACATAAGTATGGTGAAAAATGATAGGATATATTCAAAATGATTTTACTAATAAAAATACAATTAAAATTTCATTTTCTTGACCACTGACCAATAAAGCACTCATGGGAATGTGTGAAGAAGCAGATGAAGCTATAGCTTTGGTCAGCATTTCAACAAGAGAATGAATGACCCTACATGACGTGACCGGATTCACTCTCTGTACTGCAATGACATAACATGTATTCATGATATACATTGTCAATTCTTACAGTTTGATATGAATTTTGAAGTATAAACGCTAGACAAATAGGACACACAGTAATTAATGCCTTGCTCAGACAGGAAGTGGTATCTGAACAGCGGCGGTTTGTTCTTATAATACGCTTCACATTTCTGTGTCTCATATTAAACACAGAGCTTAGTGAATACCTACCTGTTGGACCTTTGTTGCTCACAGCTGCCATTTATTTACATGTTATAACAAAATCCCTGCAGTTAACTGCTCCATATCTGAGCAAGCCTTTAGAATAACACAGTAACATACACAAAGTGATGAGAATGAGATCAATTTTGAAACTTACTTAAATGAAGAACTATCTTGGTTCTTTTTCTGATGTTTCTTCCTTGGCATAGCTACTGGAGCTAAATGTCATGAAAAGAAAAGAAGGAGAAGAACTTATCAGGAATTGAAGGAACAGATTTAGGTTTACATAGTCTGTAAGTGGTGTAAATATAATAATAATTCTACTCTACAGCATATGCTATGCGCCATCGATCTAGTAAACTATTCTGAGGCGCAGAGGGTAGACTATTACCCTGGCTTTAGCAGAGATGCCAACCCTATAGGATGGCTGTCAGTAACATTTACCACATTTGTCCGTAACAAACGGAGGTCTTTCCGTAACGCAAGACACCGCAGCATAATTTTTGTGGAAAACGTACACAAACACCCAATCACTCTTACTGCATTTTGAACCTACCATTTTGAAGTCCAAAATAAAGATGTGCATAAAAACGTTTTTAAAAATCTGTTTGCAGTCAAAGGATCTCCTCCTCGGGTACTCGCTCTTTTGAGTGAATCCATGATAATATTCAGGAAGAAAACACCTCGTTCAAGCGTCGAACGGCAAATTCGAATCCACAGTCAAATGGCAGAACTCATATCCTACACACGCACACGTACACTCACCAGTACCACAGACACACAAGCCCAGGCCGCTAGGCCCGGCGTTCATGAACAACAACACACCGTACACCTCACTTGCAATGCGCCCGCTGAATCACTGAAGTCTTCGCTACTATACTTTGAATGGGTATTGCGGGCGCCGTGCGCACAATCATCCACCACCATGCTCCCCCCAAAATGCACGACCGCACGTAGTATACTAGTATCAAAACAGTAATGACGGCGGCCGTGTTGTTTCGGAATTAAACAAGATGGCGGCGGATGGACCATGTGCGCGAAAGTGCCTATCCAGTGTAGTCAAATTCAGTGAACTTTTGAGTAAATGCGTGCGACATGCAGCGCTGTGTACGGAGGCTAGGTGATAAGGCGGCATTCGTTATAATGTACTTTTATTTATTGTTTCCCCGTAACCTTTTGATTGTTTAGCGTAACGCCGTAACAAGAGCATTAAAACCGTAACAAATACGGCGAAACCGTAACGGTTGGCATCTCTGCTGTAGCACGGCTGCCATTAAGGCGCTCTAGCTTTTCAAGGAATTAATTCCTGACAGGTACCCACTTACAATACCTGGGTTGAGTATGGCAAATGTAGATCAATGTCTTGCAAAACGACATTACTGCCGCAGGGGGACTCAAACCGCGGACCTTGTGATCGACAGTAGGGTAATAATGGGTCATTTTCAAATAATACCTACAAATGGACTGATTTGGGGAGGAAATATTCTTTCAATCATAGACTGTGGTAGACCTAGATGGAGAAATATTATTTTTTTTTTCCCCCTCCTGTAACCATTCTTGTGAAGCGTAGAATACATGGCATAAAGTGAGCTAATCATGTTGGAATATTTTCGAAATAATGTAACTCATCTGCTAGTCGACTTACTTTCTTGTCTCGGGCTAAGGTCAAGACGGGGACTGCCACGAGCGCCAAATAAGTGCTGAGATATACTCTCCTGTATCGTCCTCTCTACCAATCTAAAATAAAGGCAAAATTTAAAAAAGAAATGTATTACTTTACATTGGTGGATTGGAATCACATTATCATTATTATTTTATTGTTTCAATTAACATCATCAACTTCCTCTGCAATCATTATTATAATTGTTAACATTATCATCACCACCAACATCATCAACATCACCATCATCACCACCACCACCACTATCACCCCCTCACCACCACCACTCATCACCAACGCCATTACCATCATCACAACCACCACCACTATCATCCCCTCACCACCACCACTCATCACCAACGCCATCACCATCATCACCACCACCACCACTATCACCCCCTCACCACCACCACTCATCACCAACGCCATCACCATCATCACCACCACAGGGCTTAAATTAATCCAAGGCCATCCAAGGCCAGGCCTTGGATGCCCCTTTGATTGGCCTCAATGCCCCTCTCATTGGCCTTGGAGATTTTGTGTGCCCTTTCCAATTCTTCCTATTTGTGCTGTACTATAGGAATGTGCCCTACAGAAAAGTGGCCTTGCCCTAAAAATATTGAAATTTAAGGCCTGCCACCACCACCACTATCACCCCCTCACCACCACCACTCATCACCAACGCCATTACCATCATCACCACCACCACCACCACCACCACCATCACCATAATCATGACCACCATCACCATTAACATCATCATCTTCATCATCAACGTTAATTCTGAAACTCATGAAGTATCAATGACCGCTTTTGTCGCTTCATTATCTTTGGCATGTATATGTTCCTTATTTTATCTATTTCTATAAACGTGATGTATTTATTTCTTGTAATTATGTATATTATGAATAATATGAATATTACTGTAACGCCAGTGGAAACCAAATTTCTAAGTAACTTGTTTGCAAAGACCAAATAAAATATCTTGTAACTTGTATCATCATCACAAAGACTACCGTGAGCAGGGATGTTATCTTACTCTGATGTAATAGAGGATGTTACAGGTGAAGGAGCAGCACTGGTGCCTTGGTCACTGTCCAGAGTGAATGGTGAAAAGGCCCTCTCCTCGTATTCACCATCAGGGATACTGGTCAAAGAAAAAAAAAAGATTTCATGAAATTATCATTTTAATTCACCAGCATGCACAATAGGCATGATTACCTATTCGGTACATGTACCTAATTCCTAATCATGATGCTGCTATAGATCGCATGATTGGAATTATCATGTTAGTAATGATTGTGATATTGAAATTGTGATTATGAGCTACAAATGTTATTTTCTAACAGTGAACCTTGACTATCCTCTGAAGTAGTGAAGCTCTGCCTTCATGTATAAAGAGAGTTGTGAATGATTAAAATCTATCACAACTGCATATAAATCAGAACTCTATACAGATTAATGCACTGGATCCAAAATGTCAGTTTTTTTATTTTAGCTAGCTTTAAAATACTTCATTAAGTTCATTTACCATGCAAACATTAGTTCCAAGTTTCAGGTCATTATTCCCAGACAACATCATGACATATTGAGGTATACCATAAGAAGATATCTGAATAGAGTAATCACAGTACATATACAGCCGTGAAACTAAAATCAGTCAGAAGAGAAGTCATTTAGTCAGCTAGTCTTTTGAAGGACTTGAATATACATGAAGACACAATCTTATACACAAACAGGAAAGAGAACACAAGGCCTTACATGTTATAATATTGAAACAAAATCAACTTTCAAAATACTTTGGGGAAATGAAAAATACTTTAAAAACAAAAAATGTATTGGGGTTCTACTTAATTATTTTATATAGAGAGTTAATCTCTCCTTAAACCTGCCCCTGGCGAGTCTAATTTTAACCAGAAATCACTATGGGTCTGACTCATTTGCATTCAGTAGCAATGCAAATGAGACATCGGTTCAAATAGCTTTTGTTAAAATTTACCTATACTACAGAACTTCAACTGGAGGTCTCGGCCGTTTTAAGCTGAGGTATACAGTGGAATTCGGACCAAAGAGTTCAAAACAATTTGAGATTTCAGAGACAACTTTATCACTTCTTAAATCTCAGCTCAAAACTCATGTTTAAACTTTTGCTATTTACATTCCCCCCCCCCCCCCTTCCACATGAATACATAATTTTCTTCCTTTGATAATGAATGGCTACACACCTAAGATATCCATGATTCTGAGGGCTTCCAGATGATGAGTCCTCTTTGGAGACTTCAGAATAGTTGGAGTTCAGGTCCACTTCTTCCTGCAATGCCTGGTAATCCAAGGTCAGAGGTCAGAGGTCAAAGATTAAATCATTGCACATGTATAAACAGTTCACATAGAGCTTGAATCTTCTGTTACAACTTTTCTGGAATGAATATTAAAGAAACCTGTCTGTTCAGACCTAGAAGGGCATTAACCTTGTTAACACCCTTCTGGCTCCAAACATACGAACTACCAAGTGAAAGATTGATAAAATTACTTATCATAAACCTGTTAGAGATAACAGTACATATTCTTTAAAATAAAATATTTTTTGATGGTCACAAATTCAAATCTAACCTACATGTCTATGTGTAAATAGAGCAACATGAATTTCACTTTATTTAGCGATTGATTATATAATAAGGCAACATCAGCAGAAATAAACCATGAAAAGGGATGAAGAACTTTAGCATGTCTGTTCACGATATTGGTACAGATTCACATAACACTGGATAGAAGTGTTTGTGTGTAACATTCTAATCAAGTAAGTTGCTAGGAGACAATACCCCTCCCCCTCCCCCATCCCTCTGACTATAATTAATATTTATAAACATGTATCCTTGAAAGAGCTTTACACATGAAGGACCATGATACAATCAACTTTGCAATATACAAGATATGATCATTATCCAAAAAAGATATCCCAGTTACCATGGTAACATCCCTCAGACAAGAGGAAAGGCAGATATGAATCAGGAATAGTGAAAACATGGAATCATCCTGGCATGCCATTGAGTAGCTTGAGAATATATAAATATACATGAGGCAGGATATTGAGACCCACATGGCTTAATTATGTGATCCCCAAAATAACCCCCATGACATTCTATTGTTTCTAGGTAGATTGATTGATGATGCTTTGTTTTAAAGGGCTTGAGTGTCGTCTTGACAAGTCAACATTGTTGTATGATCCAAGGGGAATTGTTCCCTACTCCGTATTTGTATGATCAAGGACTATTACTCAATATGGATAAAGAATACAACAATATTGTCTATTTAGAATGATGTAGAAGGGCGCTAATTCTGTGTTGGAGCTGTGAGTTAACACCCCTTCTAGCTTCAAGATGACACATATCGAAATAAAGATAATAGATATCATTTGAGTGATTACACAATGCAAGATGGGAGTGGAATATGACTGTACAATCTAACATTCTCTGTGTGGCACTGAAATATCACACTCATGAATACTTCTTTTTTCCTCCTCCTTCTTCTTTTTCTTCTTCTTCTTCTTCTGGCTTGAGGCCGTGCGCCTATCCAACTTTTTTATTGTCATTCTTAAAAGCACATTATATTGGCTTTATCGTACCTCTCGTTTTCTTGATCCACTTCCTTTTTGGAAACTTAGAATCAAGAACAGAGTCATTCTTGATTATGAATTTCACAAATTACAAAACAATTTGGTGTTATTTCATAAGATATGGTCGTACAATAATGTACTCTTTCTTTCAGATGATATTGATCTCACATGGTTGATTTAATTGTTGTTTGTGATAAGTTTGTCTTGAGAAGAAGCTCATAGTTGGAAGTTATGAATTCCCATAATTTAATCGTTTTGAAACACTCTATGGATGTGTAATCATTTGTAATCAGTGTTTAGTACAATTTATGTTTTTTCTCAATTTCTACCGTCGAAATTATTGTTTTTTTATGAATTGTTTAATGGTTACTTTCTCATGTATTACGTACTACTTGTTGTTGATTATTGGTATATGATTCACAAACACTTATTATATTAAGTGCATCACTGTTATTTTTTTATCTGTTTTAATTATTATATGTATTGTAAATAAAGTTTTACTTTCAAAAGTCTTCTTCTGGTAATCTCCAAAGGACTATGCATCCTAAAATGTATCTTTAGTTTATAAAACATGCAGTATTTGTAAGTTTGTACTGAAAATTCTTTCTCTCAATCTTTGTCCTTCTTTCTCAGTTTTTGTCTTTCCCTTCTTCCTTCTCTCCATGGCTTCCTTCTGTACTTCTTCATGGTTTCACATCCATTATCGCTAAATCTTTGATACTTTTCTCCTTTATCATTCATTTGTCTTCCCTTTCACTTTACTCTTTGGTTGATTATTAATTCATACTTTATATTACAATTGTCTACTTAACATGAAGCATACTACAGTACATACTTGTCAACATGTGTCTACTAAAATAATAAATAAAGTCTACTATCAATTAATCAACACTTTCAGTTTTCACGCCTCATCCGTTATCGTAAAAGATGATAATAAAATTTGTTTCACTTTCATACAGACATGTATGACGTGGTTATCATTTAATATTCACTGTATTATTTAATATTCTTTCTCATTGTTATGTTTTAGAGAGTATCATAAGGGCCATTTAGGGGGATAACTTAAATAGTAGAAATTTGTAGAAAATGAGAAAATGGGGAAACAGGAGAAAGAGAATACTTTTTATCAGATCTTAGAGCAGCAAAGTTTGATAATACATATGTATGTAGGCCTACGTGGTGTAGGCTAAAAGTCTGTCTAAAGCAATTATAAAGGAAACACAGCTTATCTCACCTACGTGTCAAAAAGAGCCCCTTCATACATGTACGTGATAATTTCCTTGAGCCTCTTATCACCCCCATAAGGCTTGAGGTCAACTCACAAGGTCACATTGTGTAATCTTTACAAGATTTCATGAAGCTTTTTATATATTATGAGATCTACAGGTCAAGACCAATTCAGTTTCATTTTTGTTATTTCTCCTCCAGAGATCAACAGATAAAAATACATATAAACAGACAAATGTATGACCATAAATAAGATGAATTATAAAAAGTGAGGAAGGCAGTGGCCAACAAGGAAACAGACCTTGTAAGAGGCCAACCCTTTAAGAAAACAAGATATACAATATGTAACATAAAACACATAAACAAAGGAACACAAAATAAGAGAAGAAATGAAGTAACTAACCTAATAAACAAACTAACAATTCATACATGCAGCTAAAAAATGATGACACTAATACCATGGTGGCTTACATACATGTATGTATGATCAAACTTTGTTGCTTTATGATCTGATTATTACAAAAATATTTTTTTTATGAAACACGCGCAGTTTGATTTAGCACATTGTCTTGTCAGGGAATGGCAAGAGAAAGAGATCAAGAAGGCACATGACCGATTGACCATGGTACTAGAGTTTCTCTAACCTCTAATAAAGTAGAGCTCAGCGTATATCACTGACAAGGACAAGCATTGAAATGTTTGTATCTTCCTAGAATTCAAAGTATCATTAGCTCGTGTAGGAGGTTAGCTGCGACTGTAACTGACATACATGTAGAAGCCATATGCTATCAATCTCTCTCAGCCCAAGTTACTGTTTCCTTTATAAACATAGCCTAAATAATGACATTTAATTCACTTTCTAACATTACAAACATTTCATAATTAAAACGATATCTTTGAGCTAAGAAAATATTCTTTGGCCTCAACATAGGTTTTGCAAGATTTCTATCTTAATATTAAAGAATCTTGAGATAATGCATGTACAAGTTCTTGAAATGCCCTTAGAACACAAAATAAGCTTTAAGCTTGAAGTGATGAGTTATAAAATCTAATTAACCCAGGAAGAAACTTATAAATATGTTTTGAAAGGAAGGAAGGAAGGAAGAAAGAGAAGCATATGAAAGGTAGATTTAATCCTCAACATATTTCCTGGTTGACAACATGTTCTATTTCCTGCTATTCTGTTCATTCTCCTTACCCTTACCATAGATCATGTTTAGTTTGTAAGGACATACCTACTTTCATTTCCCTCAACAATAAAGCTGATATCTTTCAAGTATTTTCCTGATTACATATGGTATGATTCATCTAAATGTAATTAAATATAGGAGATAAAAATGGTTGGCAGAGTCTACACATGAATGGACATTTATGTTCCAAAGACTGAAATTCATGATCCCAAATCTTTTCTTGGAAGGCAAACATCAAAGGACCCTTAGAATACCCCTCCTCGATAAACTTAAAGGGATAGTTGAGTTCTGTTTGCGGACCGCAAATGCCTTCAACGTGCATGGTTATTGCTCTTATTCTTATCTATGACATTTATAGTGCCCTTTTAGAACCTAAAATTGCTATGAAGGTAATTTCAGACCCCAAAATGTGTTAAATTTAGCCAATACGATCATACCAATTCAGCTCCACTTTCAAAAAAATACGGTGACGATTAATTAATTATTTAATTAAAAATAACAACACATGGGCTGGCTGATTGTGCGTAATATAACCAACACAAAAAAGCCAACAAAAAAGCCAACATCGGCATTGGCTGGAATACAACGTAAAAGGCGCTATTTTGTTTTTCAACAGATTTCAACGGCTGGTTCAAATTATCTAATATTTGTGGTGGTACACAAGTATTAGAAATCGTTATATTTATGGATATTTCAGCTGTCTCTGAACCAATTTTGATCACACAAAGATGATTTTGTCATTTAAATTGTATGTTCTTTCAAATTTGACAGTCAGTTTTTCATTATCTCACAAAAAAAATTTGTGTAGCGCCCTCTGAAACAGAACTCAACTATCCCTTTAACAAATACATATTACAAAGTTTTTCCCAGCAATACACGCCATGAAATCTAAGTAAAATAAATGAAATGAAATAATTATTTAAAAGAGATTCCAGGAAATGGGTGATTTGACATACCAGTTTTGTTCTTCTCTGTTTCATGTACTGGGCATGTGGTAGTGGAGTGAAGGGTGGGGATTTCTTCTCCTTGGCTGCTTGCACTTCAATACGCTTTGAGTTCCAGACCCGACCTGACCCGTTGATAGCGTTGACAGGCGAGGGCGGGCTATAGCTACCTCCATCATGACCGAAGAGAAAGTCAAACTTGTCGATGAAGAGCCGGACAAGATGATTGGTTTGCCCTTGTTCTCTGAGCCCCTGTATGCCATCAGCACACCTACATCATATCAAATACAAAAAATTGCAAATTGCAAATTTCATTTAAAAATAAATGCCCATTTAGGAGGAAACTTTTGATAGTACAAATGGCATTTCTTGGTTAAATACTAAGAATAAAAGTAAGCTTTATATACTCAGAGATAAGCACAAAAGGGGACCTATGACTTTAGTCCTTTGGTAAAGGGGATGAATTCCTTACCAAGGGAAAATTGTTGATTGATTTGAACAGGGGATCTCCCAGTTACGAGGCAAATCATCTGATAGTGAGCGTTCAAGCTCTATTAAAGCTATAAATGCTACTACAAAGCCCCGTCGTCGTTGATCAAAATGGTGAAACCCATCAATCGTAGACAAAGTGATGTTCTCATATATATATACATGTATAATGTAGAGGTGTCGTAGTCTAGTGGATGTGTCACTGGACTGTGAATCACATGGTTCGTGGTTTGAGTCCCACCGCAGCACCAATGTCCTTTGGCAAGACATTAATCTACATTTGTCGCTTTCCACCTACGTGAAGTAAAGGTAGGAAGAAATTCCTTGATTGCTTTAGCGTCTTATTATGAAGGCTCAGCTACAGCCAGGGTAATAATGTAATACTTTGTATTCAGCGCAGTGGAGTGTATTCATGTGGTACCTGTGCTATATAAATGAACATATTGATATCATCAATATTATGTAAGAGTTGATAATGATATTGATAGAAAAACAAGCTGAGTTGCAATATATTTCGGTCAATCACAGTGTCATTCTCAAGACAAAGAAAAGACCAATGCCAGTTCACTAATAGAAAGTATATGCAAAAATACCATCTTTGCTCCTGTATTTGAAATGTCTGTACAGGTACATCATAGACTTTATCAAATGTACACAAGAGACAGGTGGAAAAGGGGTTTTCCCTTCTGCATAGAACCACTCTCTTTCACAGTGCATATCATACTCCTGAAAACTGGATGCAAAGGTGTGGGTCTCAGGGGGATTTAGTCACAAGTCTTTGTTTCCTGAACCACATCCCATTCCCAAGAAACTCTATTAATGAAAAAAGAGGTTGCTTACCGATTCCTTTCTTTATATCTTAATCTGTAACTTGAACTTGTCGCGACCTCTAGCGTGGCCACTCAACCTAGTTTATCACTTGATATGTATCTCCGTTTCTTAAAGGAGTGTCAAGATGAAATACACCTGCTCAAGTGTTTATCCAAAAAGCCTTCAAAATACTACATACCGGTAGTAGTATTGAAAGCCATATTGAAAAGGATGAGCTTACTTGATAAGTTTACAACATACATGTTATTTATAGCAGTTCTTGAGACAAGGTGTAGTAGGGTGTAGTAGGCCTACTTTCTATCATGTAAACTGTACGTGTTGACAACAGAATACATCCAATTTGAATTTCCAATACTCATCTTCATTACTTCATGCTCTGATAGTGATATTGTACTCATGACACTTAATGTAGAAACCTACCCCTTCCTCTCCCATACTCCATTCATTCATTCTTCCCCCACGTCCCCTCCAGTACTTCACTCCACCCTTTCCAATTCCTAGTCCTCTCATTCTTTACCCTCTGCTCCCTTACTCCACTCATACTTTCCCTTTCCCTTTCCCTTCCATAATCTTTCAGTACTCATTTCCCCCTCCCTACCCCTATTGCACTCATTATTTCTACCATGTGAGCCCTACAACTCTCATTCTTTCCCACGCCCTCTCCCCTACTCCACTCATTCCCACCCCCTACCCCTATTGAACTCATTATTTCTACTCTTTCTCCCAAGGGACTCCACTCATCCTACCCCTTACCCCACTCATTCTACCCCCTTACTCCACTCATTCTACCCCCTTACTCCACTCATTCTACCCCCTTACTCCACTCATCCTACCCCCTTACCCCACTCATTCTACCCCCTAAGTCCACTCATCCTACCCCCTTACTCCACTCACTCCACTCATTATACCCCCTAAGTCCACTCATTCTACCCCCTTACTCCACTCATCCTACCCCCTTACCCCACTCATTCTACCCCCTAAGTCCACTCATTCTACCCCCTTACTCCACTCATCCTACCCCCTTACTCCACTCATTCTACCCCCTTACCCCACTCATTCTACCCCCTTACTCCACTCATTCTACCCCCTTACTCCACTCATCCTACCCCCTTACTCCACTCACTGCACTCATTATACCCCCTAAGTCCACTCATTCTTCCCCTGCCCCCTCCCCTTCATTCTGTCACCAGGTGAAATCCTGATGTTTCTTGGGAGAGGAAGCCAGCCTCTAAATGCCTATCTCAGTCACATTCATGTCTCACAGACACGATACCACATGTCAACAAGTCTTAATACTCCCATCCCTCTTAAACATTACCAAGTCAACCTGTTCAATACTAAGCCTAAGATTGAGCAAGCATAGTGAAAATTAAGGTTTCTAACAGGTTGGCGGTAAGCAAATCCATATCTAAAGAGCCCTTCTCCTATTCAACCTTTACAATTTTCTTTGCGAAAGAGAAATGTACATGTGTGTAGGTAAGAACCGTTTCCAAATTTCAGCTAAGTGTCTTTTAAATGTCCGGCCTAAAAAGGTCTTTGTATATAGTTTTAATCTTGTGGATGTCTCTCTGAACTCTGGATCAACGAGTTAAACCATGTTTAAATCCCGGCTACAGCACTTTAAACCCCTTTGGCAAGACGTGGAACTAAATTTGCAACTCTGTGTATAGGAGAGTATTTGGGTACCTGGGAGGCTGCCAAAAGCCATCAATATGCCACATTCTATTTAGTATGAAAGTATTATATTGATAAGAAAATAATCATAACTCTTCTGGTATATACAAAAATTGTGTATAATAAAACAAAACAATACACAAGATTACTGGATTATATCTTGCTACTCTATCAATGCTCACATTCCTAAATCCAGTAATTTGAATTGCTACCATTTTCACATTCTTACTAAATATTTTGATTGAAGAAAAGATTGTCTTCTTCTTGATATCCAACATGAGTTTAATGTGAAGTCTAACATCAAGGAACAATGCTTCTGCATGAAAGTGATCAATTAAAAAGAGCAGATCATGATATGAAACTCTTTTTTTATAAAGATGTGTTTGAGCTACATGAATGTAAACTTTTTTGCATGGTTAATGGTATGAAACTAAAAGAGACAAACGTCACAAAAGCATGGTGCTTTACAAAGGGTTTATAAACTGAATCTCTCTTTCATAGTTGTAACACTATTTCTGGCTAAGCCTTTAACATCATCTGCTCAGCTTTCCCCAGACACCTGCACACCACACACGCTATGTCATTGCTACTTCCTGCATGCGGTGAAGGACTGCCGAACGGAATTAACGTGTAGCATTTTCTTCACATGAATGTTATGAAAGGCATTTGACTTCCATCCGTATGAATAAGGGCCCTGTATGATACAAAGTTATATCGATAACAACTGCCAGAACATACCTGAATAAGTTTGGCCCAAACACGATGGCTAGAGCCATGGAGTTCATCTTATTGGTGTCCTCATGGTGAATGACCTTGATCAGGAAGCTGCAGAGATACCGCAGAACGAGGAAGTTCTCTTCTGGTAACTGCTGTAGAAGGTTCTTGAGCTGTTTCAGACTCTCCTCCTTGTTGTACTGAAATTCTAAAGTACAAATAAACAAGATATATTAAGATCGGCGCAACTCTTCTTCAATAAGATACACTTTCAATTAAAGCTCATCTGTACTAGTTTATAGAAGGGATTAGACCCCCTGCAAGGTCACTGGACAGGTGGTTATCTCATCTAATCTGCTATCAGTTAACATAAGAAAAAGAGGATCATTGGGGATCAATGGTCACCGATTAGGCATTGTTTGCTATATAGAGGGAGAAAGTACGTACAAGTACTAGAGTGGAGCTTTAAATCTATTATAAATGTACATCAGTCTTGATTTGAACACTCTCCCTTTGGAAATGTTACAAATATGAAAAACGCCTGTAATTCTTGGTTTGAACTACAAGGTAGTTGATTTTCGTGCTAATTTAACTATAACTACTTTAACAATTCATTAACAGTTAAGCATAGGTCGTGTATACTTGCAGAAGGGACAAACATACATTTCTACAACACCTAAATGTAAGCAGTCACCTAAAATACTTTAGTACATGTAACCCTGGACCCTGCTTCATAAAACTTGTTAACAATAACAAATGCTAAATTTCTATGACAGATTTGCTCTCAGCCAGCCAAATGCTACAATTTCAGTAGCTTATAACAGTTATCGTAATTTGTTCTTGATAACAAGTTTTATGAAACAGGGCCATGATATAGATGAAACCTTCTCAGCAAAAAGTCTCCAGATATTTATATCTACATGAATGCTTAAGGCACTAACTAACTGCTTGCTTGGTTGACCATCGCCAATACACTCGTTTCCATATAAGGAACCAATAGCATGAAATGATATTGAACAATGTATAGTACCTTCTTGTACTGTAAGAAACTGAGGATGAAGCTGGCCGATGACGACGGGATCTGGAAGTTCTCTGAAAAAGAGTTTGAGAAGACTAGCTACAGCCATCACATCGCCAGCCTCCTCCAGATTGGCGTTGCCATGGCGATCATACTGCATCCTCAGTTTTTCCACTATTTTGGAGCTACCGTTGATGCGGAAGATTCCCTCGTGTCCGATACCTGGAATATATGAGAACATATGATGAGAACATTCTTTGTAGCTTCAATTACTGCAGTCAACATTGTTTTAAGAAAATAGAACAGAAGGAGAGGGTTGATTGCTCCGTGGTAGAGCAGTGATTCCTTCATAAATGGAAGACTCTGGGCTCAAAACCTAGTTGATACCCTGGTGGTCTATGGTAAGGTATTTATCCTCATTACCAATTGTTAACAGTCGTAAGTTTTCCTGCTTACCTTGTGTCAACAATAGGCCTGTCTTCATCAGAACAGAGTTTGCCAAATAACATAATGGCAAGTACTTTTCTCCATATAATAGCAAGTGCTTTTCCATTTAAAAAAAAAATCCATGTGATATCATTTACTACTTATTTAGTAAATATTCTGAATCAAGCAATATATTTAAAATGTGCATGATATTAATACCCGCCATATTTTACAACTTTTACACACTTCAAATCGTATTAGAGATCCTCATATCCCCAACAAATATAAGTTTTGAGTCAATGGAATTTTTTCCCCCTAAAGAAATTATTGTTCAGTAAAAATTAGATGCTCAAAGAATTTAACACCTTTTATCAACATGTTGTTTTTTGTAGGATCTCAAAGATTTTTTTTATTTGACATCATTTTCTTCTGTACATACAACATGTACTCCATTTGTGTCAAACCAGGAGTATGCTTATTACACAGGAATCCAAGGAATCCAATAAAGGATGTCTCAGAAGGAAAAAAGGGTCAATAATAGCACAAGCTAATTGCAAAGACACCGCATGCAGCTCATTAAAGAAATCCTCTGCCTAAGCTTCCTCAGAAGGAAGAAACTTGGTTAAGGAAGTGGACCACCATCAGGAAACGACGGGTTGAAGATAGATTTATCTCCTCCCAGACCCAAACCGGCTGAGCAGAGCTATTAATATGCAAGCGATCCGCCAACGTCATTTGTCAAAACCAATTTATATAAGCGTTTCATTTCCTTCACGGTAATTTCCCTCTTATTTCTCAGGAAGTCATCAATATTGTGGCACGTTGGTCGCCGTGAAGCGCAACCAACGGGTCAAAGTCAGTCGGGAGAGAGCCCTCCTATGAATGAAGGTAGGTAAACATGGGCCATGGATTCACACCTCAATCATATGAAATGGATCAGTCAAAGTAGCACTTTATGATAATAATTTGCCATTCTAAAAATCACCAGAATTTGTTTACACTTTTGATTTTACGGACGAATAAAGTAAAATATTAAAATTTTGGGGACAAAGTATTTTTTTAAACGAAACTCAAGATTATTACTTTTAAAATCCTAAAATAAGTTTAGCCCAAAAGTCAGTGAGACATCATGGACCAGATGTTTGGAACTCCTTACCAAATTATATAAGGCACCGTTCATCTCTCTATTCTTTTAAGTCTTTCGTCTGCTTTGTGCATGGCTGATCGTCAACGAAAAGAGTTAAGTCTTTTGTCAACCCTGTTTGTTGCTACGGCAGGCAGCCAGTGAAAAGGAATTTGTTTAATCAAATTATGGAAATGCAAGCATCACTTTAAACAAACAGAACTTTGTTATTCCTGATTGAAGTGTCATATGAAAGGGCAGAAAATGAACTTTCTAGAAATGCGATTTTCCCTTTGAAATTCAGATACAGTCCGCCAAATGACTTTTTGGTACCCTCTCTTCAATTTTTTTTTAATCACTCATGCATCATATGAGCTGCATCAAACAGGGGTGATAGTGAGCACTAAAAAAAGAATAGGTTTTTTGTTTTCCCCTCAACCACGCCCCCCTTGAGTGAAAAAAAAGAAGAAGAGGATTCGTGGGGGAAAATGACATCCAACAACGTTCCCCCCTTTCGAGTAAGAAAATTGGGACAAAATTGGGAAAATTGGGAAAATTGAGGAAAAAAAAGAGGGCAAAATAGGGAAGGATAGAGAAAATAAGAGGGAAATCGGAAAAATCAGGATAGAATATGGAAGAAGAAAAAAAAATGGTTAAAAAAAAAAAAATGGTAAAAAAAAAATCTGGATCTTTTTTTTTTTTTTATAAATCAGGAAGAAAAAAAAATCGGGAAAAAATCGGGAAAAATAAAACAAATCGGGAAACCGATTTAAATCGGGTTTTTATCAGGCCTGATCAAATGAAAGAGGAGGATCAAATGAAAGAGGAGGATCTAAGCTTTACAAATATGTGTCATTTCTTAATTATAATTGTGATAAAGTTATGATAAAACATCAATATTTCTCGGTTTCGTTGTTTCTGGGATGCACTGTATAACAGACTTTGCTTTCATGTATATTATCATAATATCCAGAGTTCTTTGTCAGGATTTTTGCAAGGTTTATTTGAATTTCATGATGTCCAGAAGCATGTACATGGACAGGAACCTCCTCCTCAATAAACTTTAAAATAGAAAATGGAAATAGATAATTTCCTAGAATGTGATGTAGGCATGATCAGCAAGGCTTCTGAATTCAATGTATACTGGCATGCTATCATGATGACCTCTTAGGTGTGGGTGTGTTTGGATGTGAGGAGAGGTTTAGAAGACACTTAGTCAAGAGAAAGAAATAGAAGACTCCTGATTGATAAATGTAGATGAATTAAGTAGGATTAAAACATGAGGTGGCCGGCAGTGACACTGAGTCACACCCATCTATATGTGACCAAAATAACAAACACTTGATTGATATTGGCTTAGTTTGTAAGCTCCTATTCAAAACCACATATACAATGTTTGCTTAAACATATGTCTGCATATGTAGGCACACAACATGTAGGAATATAGGATAGCTTGATGAATTCATTGTTTTATCGGGTATTTCTAACACTTTGGGCAGAATAAATATGCAAGAGTAAATCTTAAAATTTGTTTGGTTTGTTGGTTTGTTTTGCCAGACTGCTAAGAAAGCAAACATACATGCATGTAGTATGTACCTGTACATGTTCAGTGTATATACATGTATGGGACTGATGGCTTTAAGTCCTCTCCAAGGGACTTAGCAAAGAGGATTCATACCAATGCAAAGGGCACTAGCACATCGACTAAGCTTTGAACTTGGGACCCTTCACTTAGATGAAACTTCTTACAGAACAAGTTTGCAAAAATAAAAGTTTGAAAGTCTAGTTTTAAGTTTAATTTCTAATCATACTCATAACTATGTCTTTGTATACTATACATGATACCTCTGGCATTTCCTCCTCCCTTGCTGTTCAATCTATGAATATTGAGAACATCAATCTAGGCCACACATTATGACATATGCTGATGCTCAACTCAGATCTTTTTTCTACTCACACAAAAAGAAGAAGTGTACATTGCTATATAAACTTTCAGGATGAAAAAAACCATTCAGAGTTTCAGATAAAACCTCAGATAGTATCATTTATTGTATTGAGAATGACAAAGAATGCATTGTATTACATCATATCACTGCATCATAGCATGGGGCCTACCTTTCATAGTGTATGACGACACCCCATTAACAACAAATAGAATGAGAAATGGTTGTGAATCTCATTTCAAAACCAAGAACTATTCACTTATTCTGTATCTTAAACTTCCTGGGACTGCATTGATTTTAACCACACTGTACAACATGTCACTATAACACACACATACTGGTACACATACACAAAGAAAACACCCCCCCCCCCCCCCTTGAAAAAAATCATAGAGATGTTCTTTTGTATTCTACCCTCAACGTACACATGAAGTGTAACATCCTACATGTAGCAACTTGGCTGATGTTTTGTTTTTTTTAATAAAAAATCTTCATTTCAGTACAAAACAATCTTCACATATATGTTGACTATCAAAAGAGGAAAGTGCAAATGAAATATGTACACAGTCTGTTTCATAATTTATTCAGACATATATCTAAATGCCCATAAGGCCTAATGACAAGAGCGATTTGGAAGACCTATAAGCAACAATCTGACTCTATTTCATTTCTTGTCTCTTATTTTCGTAAAATACATGTTTTGACTGGTACTTTAAATTAAAAGAAACTTGAAACCACAAGTACTTTTTGCATAGCTTTACCGCAAGATATGAGCTTCATCATTAAGCTTGAAGTCATTTAAAAGATCTGTTTAGAGTCAATGAGGAGGGATTTTTGCCTTTGATGAGGTCCCTCCATACCTACTGTAAGTATTAATCATGCTTTATTACCTTGTGACTAATCAGAATTCCATGAAATATATGAGGGTAACGAGGTACATGAAACCTCATAAAACCGGGTTAGGGAGCAGAATTGTGCGACAGATTGTCCCATGCTGACTGGCTAATCAATCTCATGCCAGGACAAAGAAAATTAATCACCTTCGCTTTCCTCGTTCGCCCACCAAAACTAACACAGATTTACTCCTTGCTTTAACCCTTATACTACCTCCGAACACACATAGGGGTCCTAAATTAATAGAAATTAAGGCAAGTGGGCCAAGCAGGGTTAATGATATTCACATAAAAACATCCACTCTTTGCAATTAATGCCTAATCTACTGAATCTCATTCTAAATTGGAACTTTAAATTTTAATGAGAAAGCATCTATTATTACTCATTAATGAGCTCATTAACTAGCAAAAGCTACCATAATAGGTACATACATGTAATATATGCAAGCTTACTTCTATGAATGTATAAACAAATTTAAATCCTCTTTAATGATGACATATATTTATCAAGACCTTGTCTTGATACTTGATATTAACAAATAAATCATCCTGATGAGCTGAAGAAATTGACTTGTACAAAAAAAAAATCACCACCCTGTTCAATTATTAGAAAGAACTGGAGTTAAAAAAAAAAAAAAAACAACAATTCTAAGCTATAAATTTGTCAATTTTTGAGATGTGGGTCAAAGCCAAGTTGGTCAGATCATAGGTCAATTTTGTTTACAAGACTCAGTTTCCTGGTTCAACATTATCCATCTTAAGTCTGCTACACAGCTCTCAAACATACTGTACATGTACACTGTCCAAGTCGAGCTGTTAAGCATAATAACTTTTCATTCTTCTTCTTTTCTTTCCTTTTTTGGGGGGCTAGGGTTCATTGTATACACATCATGGCCCTACTGCTTACTTGCACATCTGAAGCTAATTTGCTTGACTCAACTTATTTTTTCATTGAAAATCTGAATCTCTACAAAGTGTGTCACTAAATTCATTGTCAAAAATCTCAACTAGATTGAACAAAGAAGAGAAAGTGAAGAAACAAAGACGTGAGTGTAACTGGCATTCAACCAAAATCATTGCTTGCACCAAGCACAAAACAATATCACTCTCACCAAGATAAACATGACTATGAAACTGAACCCAATGAAAATATCATCTTATTCTCAAATTCACTCCCAAGAGTATGGCATGCATCCATAATCAGAACAAAGATCTGGTTCCTATAAAGGAATATTCTTCATACAGATTTTCTTTCTATTTTTCATCCTTTATCTAGTTTGGTATCTGAAGACTGGCCTTCTACCAGAGATGGAACTGTAATTTTAACTCAGCGAAAGGCAAACTTAAATTTTGTCCCCTTAACAGACCAATCAAAAAGGTATCCAGCTACAGTGCACTAACGAGACTAATATTGATGAAAGGTAGATGTACAGTACATGTATGATTCTAAATTGAGTACAACAACAAGCAAGGTCAAGAACATCAAATTGTAAAATATATATTTTTGTTTGTCTTCCGCTATTCTTTAAAAGAAAACATGTAAAGCACTGAAAGAGATCAATGCCAGGGTTTTTATGAAACATAGAGAAGAAATAAAATAGATTGCCACTCTTCAGAACAAATATTATTCCCTGCTATTCAAGCCTTTCAAGAGTCTGATAAATATTATTCCATGATTTTTATTGATGTATTCTGACGTAATTGTAGGCAACACATTTAAAGCAATACTTGCTGGCCTACTTAATGATATACAGACACTATTCAAGTTTTAGATCCGTAGTGTGCTCAGTACGAAATGAAAATCTGAAGAGTGTTTTCGTGTGTGATCTTATTAGAGGGAAGCGCAAAATTTGTTGGTGTCCAAATTTAAATAGAAAATCAAAATGATATAATTTTGAACTCAGAACTTTGAAATAAGTTGAATCTCCAAGGAGATGACATAATGAGGACTTGAAATGTACTGGTATATTCACAATTCATGATGCAATACAGAACTGCAAGGATGCAAGTAAAAAAAAAAATAGTAATAATTTGATTTAGCACCTTTTCCAGAGGATACAAGGTGCTATCCCTGAGTCTATGAACAAATTAAGAATTATAGAGGTTTCACATGTTTTTAAGGAGTCAATTGAAATGCTATTTCTTAGAAATGCAAAGAGTTTTAATTCAATAGGCATGGGGCAATTTCAAGCCAGCCTCTTTCAAGTAAGGATTTAAGAAAGGTTACCATATGCATTTTGAAGACACATTAAACTGAATTGTCATACAGCCTTCCAGTGTCTGAATGTAGTTTGTAGGTACAAACCCTTGTCGTCACCGTGTGTAACAGTGTCTGCAACATGAGACTACAATAGGCTACATGTACATAGAGTGGTACATGGAGTGTTATTTTGCTCTGGTCCATAACATTACAAGCCAGAGCAAAATAAAATGAGTTCCCATAGGAAACCTATTTATTCAGATGGTCATATCTCAGCCAATACTTGACATTTGGACATTATTTTTGATGCTCTTTCGGAAAATGAAGAAAAAATTGAGGAATTCTAAAAATAGATTTTCATGATGTCACAGCTTCGGTACTCTATGTACTAATACTGTGCTCCGAAAAGCCAGAAACTGAGAGATCTAGGCTCTGCTCAAGGCTCTAGGTATCGTGGTAAAGTGTCAAATTAGAGTCTGTGCAATGTACATGTAGACTAGTCTGAATTAGGAGAGTTGGGGGGGGGGGGGTAGCGGTGACTGTGTTCTCAGTATTAAGAGTGCGCTCTGTTTGCTGAATTTATACCCACTGAGATTGGCATGATCAATATTACAAGGCACATTCTCTAACTAACCCTAGGCACCACGCTCAAGCCTTCCCTGGAAGCTAGCTAGCTAGGACATGATATGCAAACTAATACAACAGGCATGTACTCAAGGAATTTAAAGGGATACTATCCAACGACGAAACATGGGAAGATTCAAGATTCAAGATTAAAAACAAAGCTCAACAGTTTTGTGCTTTAATAATAATAATAGTGTAAACTTATAGAGCGCACACACCGTCCAGGGACGCTCATGGCGCTAGCTCAGCAACAGTTCTCTTTGATACAAGTAAAGTAAATAATTTTGCAATATTTTTATAACCCATTTCCATCCTCAGCTCTGCCCGATGGGGCCCGGTGCCCTCCAGCTGCTCTGTTCACTGACAATTTAAGGGACTTTGTTTATATTCAGTATGCGCCGTTTCATTATAATGATTGTAAGGGGAATCGCTGTGTTTTTTGGCATGCCATTAAGCTTTTCAATGCGATTTCCCAGGCACAATTTTATTATATATTACATCTTCGTATTTTATAAAATTAATAAACTGAATTGAAAATAAAAAGAAAGCAGCCTTAAACTAAGAAATGACCACAGAATTAAAGTTCATCTACTCACCATGCATCTTAATAAATTCAATGATTTTCTGCAAGAGTTCTGGTATTCGAATTCCATTAGGTCCATAGCGGCAGAGTTCTTTCAACGGGACACCAAACATCTTATTAACGACCTTACGACGTATGCTGGCCGGAGAGCGCAGTATCTTCTGCATGGCGGTAACCGCTGGGACCCTACGGTCAGTGCCTGCTGGCACAACCTATGGTAGAAAAAGAAATAAAATGAAAAAGGTCAGATGTCGCTAAAGTAAGGAAATAGCAAGTGCTGTGCAACATGTACTTGTATGTCCACTTGAAGTTGACTTTAGAATGAACCTTAATGATAATGCACTATACCAGGTACTTATATAGCGATATCACAAATATGCCCCTAGTATGCACTGTGATGGAGAGAAGGAATGAAAAAAATGAATAAAGAATAAGATACTCTCAGCATATACATGTACAGTATGTACCTGTACTTCCTCAAGTTATTACTAGTTAAAAATGGAACTTGTTTCAAAAAAATAAATATGTTAAGACATTTTTTAACCTTGTCAACAGTATCACTTATTATTATATTCTGGCAACTTATTCCAAAGCTCTGATGATGCGATCTGAAAAGAGCGTTACATTACATGTAGGTATATAAAAAGGCACACTGTAGCTATTTCTGGATTTCTGGAAAATGTCAATACATGCCAGTCTTCCGTAGAAAAGAATAAGAATCTCTCAAGTCTCAAGGCAAAATTAGAAATGCAGTCTATTTTAGATGTTTTTACAGAGGTGTTTTCAGCAGAAGAGAGGAATTTAGGGTTATTAACTCAAGACTGCAGGCCGAATAATACGAATCATTCCTTCAAAATAGTAATGCTTAGCAGCAATGCACTTGTAGCTGTGTTTGACATTTAAATGTGAGAGAATTTAACAAGGAACAATTCTCATACATGTATTATTGATGTCCTTTCACATGGGAGTAAAAACAGATGAGAATAACAAACTTGCAAGGATCATGAATAAAAATCTACATATACATGTACATAGTGGTGTATCTTATAAAAGTTCTACATTTGCACCATTCCCAGTTTTCATCACTACCTTTAGGCAGTCTTCAGCCTACAGATAGACCCTTTCTGAAACCACTCACATGGATTCATGCCGACGCCCACGAACCAATCATCAGTAGATTCATTGATTGGTGGTTGCATCAATCTCCAGCCATCACCATGGCAACGATCTAACAGATCAAACATTTCTGACAGGTCTGATGCAATGCATGCAATTAGTAAGCGTAAATCAGTCATCCATGCCACATTGGGAGTAAAAAGCCTTGAAACCAATGCTACTTAAAGAGTGAAACTTAAAGTCAGTGATATTGGTAGACTTGACACTGTAATTAATATATCATTCATTCCTGCTTACTACAGTGTACCTGTATTTATACATAATCTATTCTCTTCATATAAGATATTAAAATATACAGCTACTTGAATTTAACAAGGTATAAATGCCTTTACATATTGATGTGCTTTCCATATTAACCGAACGTTGCATATTATACACACTGTATACATGTAGTCCGTGTAATAATGTCAAATTCTTAATTTATCCATAGACTGAAGGGAAAGTGCCTTATATCCTCTGGAAAAGACACTATAAAATCCAATTATTATTATCATCATTAATACCAAGTCATCATGGGTGACAGAAATAAGAACTACAATGTGAAAGAATCTATTACCATTAGCATTCTACACAATGAGATTGGAAAGTACTGATACCCATTTGCAATGTGGTTTCATGTCATATTCTTGGTACGATCATCAAACACATTAACATTCTATAGGCTAGATGACATCATCTGTTCAGAACTATAAGGGTATTATCTCTGTGTGTAAAGAATATGAATTAACTCCCTTCTGGCTCCACAATACAAGTAAAGTAGAATACATCGGAAGCATTTGCAGTTCTCAGTAATACCACTGCGCATACAATGAACCAACATTAACATTCTATACAGTGCACAACAAAAACACTTGAGAAAAGTCAATCATGCATTGTAGAGGTTCCTTTGCAATTCTCTGTAATATCATATAATGTACAATAGACCATCATTAACATTCAATACATCGTGTCCCACTAATCAGTAATGATGAGTGATCCTGAGAAAAAGTCAATAGCTTTTTGGTTTTTAATTGCATCTTTGTCATGAAGGGTAAAGACATTGTACAATGGATCTCACAATTAACGTAACTATGTTCCGATTCCCAAGAAATTCATACCTACAGGCCTTCAAGCAGACTAAGTGTAAAGATTCGATAGAAGTCTTAAAAAATAAAATGTCATCATTAGCTAATACAGCAAATGAGAGTCTGATACAAAGACTTCTAATTCAACAGTGTTACAGTCTTAAGAAACAAAACTATAGACACAAAACAAACAATCAAAGTAACAAGCAAATTTGATATTCAACCCATCATGATCAAAAGATGAATATTTTTTGTTCTTCATAATCCTTAATTATCCTACCCCCCAAAAAAAATCCCCCCAAAAAGAAAGAAATACATGTACATCTTACCCTTGACAACATATACAAAGAGAAGAGGATGGTGCCATAAACTATTTCTAAATGACCGACCAAATTGCAGCTTTACTCCAGGCAATTTGCCGTTGGATGCCGATCGCTTGAACGAGGAGCGAGCTGTAAAACCATAGCGAAAACACAAACAATTATCTCCAGCCGTAAAAACAGATGGTGGTCTGTCTCCCAATCTTATTGGTAGAATGAGATAATCTCCTTGACGTCCACGAGACCTCAATTAAACGACTGACAACGGCTCGCTAAATGAGTCACGCTCACGGTCTCAATTTTCATTTATCTTGGGTGAAAAAGCAACATTGCGCTCTAATCGCACTCACGGTCACCATTCATACATTATATATTAAAGGGAATGATCTGAAGTAGGAAAGATAAAACAATTAATTTGCATTTTTATGTTTATTGTCCTTTGTAATAGATTAAGAATCCTATTTAAATGTTAATGACTTCTTGTATAAGGCGTTATTATGCTAAAGCAGTAGTGCAATCCTTTATTACCTCGGCTTTAGCTAGTCTAAATTTCAAACGGACAAAAAAATATAAATAAAAAAATAGAAAGACAAAAAGAAAGAAAGAAATCTACAGGGAAATGTAAAAGTGCAAGTACATGTACATGTACAGTGCATAATAATTGAATGTTCTCTCTCTCAAGGAGATAAATTGTCAGAATTTATATATCAAAAAATAGATTGTTAGCCTCATACCATACTTTTAAAGGGCTAAATTATTTGTTTCATTTTTAAAAAATTTGTCAAGCTTAGTGGTATCATTTTGGGATGCCAGTACTGAAATAATGACTAAAACAAAGATCTTCATTGAGAAAATGTTTGAAAATTACAAGCTTGAATTTTGCTCATAAACTACTACCAGTAATAAATTATTGAAAGCAAGTATAACAACAGAAATGGCTGTAAGTTTGCTTTTGCTTATTTGGAATAAATAGTATACAAGAGCAGACTAGTTAAAATGTCTGAGAGAGCTATCTTATTCTAACGATGAATGAACTTAACAGCAATGATAATTAGCCCCCTCCATGTGATAGAATGCTCTAAAAGAGGCCATGTGGATGTGTCAAGATAAAACAGATTTCCTTAAGCTGATTTAATCATTAATGAATCTGCTAACAATGTTTAGAATTCCATTAAAGTTGAATTCATCCTACATGTACATGTAATTGCTTTCTCCATTTAGTTGAATCTACATCATGTGAAACATCAATTATCTACTGTACATTCTTCAATCCCTTTTTTCAATCTAAATATTTCAGAAGTGCACCACTGAGGTACTTGTACATGTATGTAGTGATCTTCTCAAAACTAACAAGATATTTCAAATCATGCAACTTTTTATAATAAAACAATTGTACTATTTTACGATTACCCGGAATATTTAGGGAATCTCACTCATGAACTTTTAACCGTTACTGACATTGTTTGTTTCTTTACAGGAACGGCTGCAATCACGACTCCAATTTCGACCAATAAGATAGCTAGATTTCTAAAGAGAGGTAGATGTACATGTATATAACACCTTTAATGTCACAAGGAATGAAGTAATAACATGTAACCGTCACTATTACACACAAGGCCTTTATTAATCTATAACATGTTGAGAGGACTGGCGTGTTGGAAAAGACAGATTCGAAAGGCTCTCAAGTTTCAAATGAGATCTTCAATTTGATAAATTATATTGGCTTCTAATGTTTTACTACTCCTGACATACATTGTAGTAAGGTTGTGTTTATAGGCATAGACAGACAGCCAGCCTAATTGGCTCTTGAGGGAGTACTAAAAGTGTCTGTTTACAGACTAACAAGGCTTGGATTCCAGGAATAAACTCCTTCAACATCTACAGTAGATCAGGTGCAGTGGATAAAAGAGAGCTTGATACACTTTACATGGTTTGCTGAGAGCCAGGACATTGATACAATATACAGGACACTGTTTAATACCAGTACAAATTTTAAGATTACACTTTTATCTTGATATCAAGGATTATGTTAGTACTTGCATCTTGCTTAAGTTACCATCTGTTGTATATATTCATGTCACTCCTTTAACTCTTCCTTTTTCCTTTCCGTTTTCTATAAATCCTCTCTCTTCTCTCTCCTCACACACACCCACACAAATCTGTTCTTCTCTCTTCATGTCTCCTTTTTAAAATCTCTTTACTTCCCTTTTTATTTCTCCTAACAACCCCCCCCCCCCCCCCCCCCCCCCCGTCTCGTTCATCATTGTTGGATATTTCATTTTCCTTCTATTGTCATATTTACATGTACCTAGTTTAATTCAACACGTCTTATTGATTTTAATGCCTATTTCTTGGTCATTCTATTCGGTTGCTTATATTCTATTCATGATATTCTAAAAATGCCTTTGTATTGTCAATTTTTTTTAATACATCTTGAAATGATATTGTAATTGTAATCTTTCACAATCTGACCTTGCGTCCGTAGGAAAGTATTTGAATAAACCATTTTGAAAGAATGAATGAATAAATACATGACTGTTCTTTGACATGACACTGAGTTAATGTTCTTGTAGCACTCAATAGATGACAGATAATGTGCACACATGGGCCTGAGAGGACAGCTCACTTACTTACCACCTCAGGGGGTTGTATATTTGGTGCTTGCTGCTGATTTCAGGGTGGGGGTGGGGGATGCCTCAAGTGACACAATTTATACTCTCAATGTTCCAGTATGATGACAGATGGCCTGCCATAGGAAAGACTAGCTTGATACACTTGCACTACATGTAGCAGTAACTTTCTAGAAAATTCTGAGCAATTCTTCATTGAGCATGAACATGTGAAACGCAACCTTATGGGAGAGTTTGGCCATTTACTATGATACCAAAACAGTATTATAAACAAATTTGGCAATATTTTTTCCAGGAGGTGGCTTGATATAATTTCAAATATTAAAGAAATTCAGTATGGAATGACTCTCTTATAAATAATCATAGAGAGAAATTAGAATCATGTAGAAATGACTGATGACATGTACATGTAGATCATTAGCAAATTACATTTGAATGATGCTGATTTTCCATTTAGGGAATGGTAGAGGAACAAGTGGTGTCCATGTATACATTATAGCATACAAATTTAAAAGAATACTACATCATTTGTAAAAACAAAAACAAAAAATCACAATATTTTTGGCTGAAAGCCAGAGGGATGCTGACTCCTTTTAAGTTTCAGAAAATGTTATTACATTAAATTTGTCTTTAGAATGTGTCCTGAATTGTTACATTTGTTTGCCAACAGACATCTGTCATCTAAATCATCAGCATTGATATTATGGAGAAAACAGTCTGCTCTACTTTCTGCAAAGTTCATTGCGATCAGGTATGATGAGTGATGGACAAATTGGCAAGGACGATCTGATCTTCCTCACAGTCACAATGCAGCCTGCAAAGAATGTCATTTTTTTTCATCCCTCATTTATTCATTTTAAAGAGAACAACTCTAATTCCATGACAATGTGATACTTACATGTGTACACGTACATGTAGTCTATTAAAAGATATTTGTACTATTTTTCAAATTCTCATCATTATAATATAACGACTAAATCCTACATGTATCATCTGGCTGAAATAAATGGGCATCACAATGTACATGTAACTACAGGGGTGTGTATGTAGAATTAATCAAGTTACACATATAACTGTCCACATATTTCTTACCATTGGCTTTCATCTGTATGTGTATTTAATTACATACAGATAACAACTAAACTATTCATGCCTCTTGTAAATTTGATGTTTTTGTGTTTTTCAACTCAAGGGTGAAAGGTGGACTGGTTGAATTAGGGCCTATGTTGAATACTTATAGATGCAAACTCTAATCAGTCTCACTCTCGAGAAATACTGTATAAATCGGAACAAAGCACTTTGTCATATCATCAACAAATTAAAAAACTTGGTAAGGGTAAGAATACATTAAATTGTAACTGCATAATGGCAAGTGTACGGTAAACATCAGGCTCAATTACTGCTTCTATTTTTTTTTACAAGTCTAAAATCACCTACATTTTTTTTTCTCAAAACAAACAGCAGTCCATAAAGGGGCTAGAAAGTGCATTTTGGAAAGTCCCATGACAGAAACAAACAAATTGTTGGCTCATCAGTACTTGACGGAGCGAAGATTGGAATTGATTTTCCCCCCTCACACATGATTCACTGATCATATGTTCATTGCGTCACAATTGAGATAAATATAAAATCCAAATACCTTTTGTGACCCGCAAATATTTCATGCTGTGATACAACCTAAATCTGATATTTTTGTGGCATGAAACTTTGAGAATTTATTACCACCCTGAAATTTGCAAAATGTTCTTACTTGATGGAGCCAAGATTGGAGTTGATTTTTCCCCCTCACACATGATTCACTGATCAAATGTTCATTGCGTCACAAATGACGAGGTAAATACTGTACGTCCAAAATTGTTCATGAACCGCAAATATTCCATGCTGTGATTCAGCCTAATTGTAATATTTAATGGCATAGAGCTTTGAACTTTTTTTTACCATTCCCAAGATTTGCAAAAGGTTCAGCCTTATCAATTGTAAATTGTATAAATGAAGGGTAAAACCAGTTTCTTAAAATGTATGTGTAAATAGAGAGTTAGATTGTCCTATACATGTAATGTGTTACAATCACCTTTGAATACTGCAAGCAAGGTTGGACTCTAATATGATTGCAGGGCTATCATGAAGAACAGTAAATAAGGCAAGGGGGGAGGAGGTGTAAATAAAACCATATCATTTATATAGTTATCCACCTTTATCCAAATAAACAAGCCCCGATCCTGAATTCTATTCTTAATAATCGCCCAATTTCTTTGGCAGGATACAAGCCAATTTGACCCAAGAGAGCCAGCCTTCAGTTAGAATTTCAATTCAATCCCGGTTCAAGCTTGTAAACAACATGCCTTGATTTTAGGTCAAGGTGACAATTTTTTGGTTAAAGAGAGTGCTGCATGTAATACAAGCTTACTAAAATTGTTTGATTTTTTCTTTAATATTCACTCCTTATACAGACTGACATTTTGAATGTCTTGTATGCATTTTTGCTGTGTTTATATTTTTCATATTCCTTGAATTCTTGTCCTTCATTTCATTTGTTATGCAAACATTAATTCTTTTTAGTTCTTTTCATTTTGTCCATATTAATGAAAAGTAATTTCGGGCAATAAGGCGGTTCTATCATTATTTTCTGTGTTCGTTTTTTTTCAGTTGTGAAGAGTGAAGTCTGCATCTCATTCTAGAAATCCTTTTTGACTTGAACCCTCAGGAAAGTTTATACACTGCATATGAATTACAGATTATCATTTTCATATGTGGTTGATATGTTCCTGGGTATATCAACTATAGTAAAACACATAAAATTCTTTTTGGAGAAACAAATTGTTTGTCTCTTATAAGTTCAAAGTGGGAACGATATTTGAATTACAATTTACCAGCTGTATTGATACTAAATTATAACGTTATGATATTTTGAAATACTTTCAGTATAAGATTTTAAATAGAATTTTGTTTTTTGAATAAACACATATTTAGGATGAAAATTGTACATTTCTTTTATGAATGTGAGATATGTAGAAAGATCTGGAATGAAACCTCAAACAGGATTTATAAAGAACACAAATTAGAATTTTGTTCGCACTTTACAAAATATGTTTTTTTGGCTTTGATGATAAGAGAAATGATGCTCTAAATTGCATTGTTATATTGATTAAACAACAGATTGTTTATTGTAAACTGAATGGTATTGTTCCGCTCTTTGATATGTTGAAAAAGAAAGTTTTACAATATCATAAAGATGAGAAATATATTGTACGTCTACCGGTATCTGGAATGGAAAGACATTTTGCTGTATTAAAAGTGGCAGTTGCTACAACTGTTGTTTTATATAGAAAGATTATTTTGAATGTGTTCAAACATGCTCATATACAGTATTTGATTTGTTAATTTGTGTGAAGATAATTAATAAATAGCCTGTGGAAAGCTCAAAAATTGAAGAAAAAAAGTATAAACATAATAAAACATTCTTCATACACTGTACATGTAGATGTACTTGTAAGTAAACATATTAAACACAACATTTACCATTGTTTTCAACATTAAGTTAGGTGCACACACATGTACATGTATGAAGACAATTTTATATGCAAAGAAAAATCTGTAGGTAAGTGTATCCACTACTGACATGCCTTACAAATAAATATTCCTCTTGCTCTAGAGCTGCATTACCTGCATGCCTTAAACACAGTGATTTGAATTAGAACAGACTTTCTCAATCTCAATCTCAAGACATGAGCTGCTGCTGATGTAACCTTTATGATGTTAGATTTGATAAGGATCAATAACCATTCTAGTTGCTTTCTTATTTAGATGTCAAGCCGACAGAGAATAAACACTGACATTCCGGTGGAAGAAATGCTGTATTATCATTGTAGCAATAGTCAGAGGGGGGGGGGGGGGGCAAGGACTATAGAAATGGGGAGGGGGAGGGAATCCCCCCAAAACAATAACTGAGAAGAAAAAAATGACCACAATTTTCAGGTGCACTTTGGGTCTAACATTTTGAAGGGGCGCACACACAAAAAATTAGAGGGGACATCTTTCAAGTACACTGTACATGCACAATGTAGGTACAGTTGGCACAAATTTGTTTTTTAGAGGTGGACACCCATCCCCCACCCCCTCCCTTCTAATAAATGCATCAGTAGCCATACTAAATGTTTAACATGCTGAGCTAGTACATGTATGTCCTTTCATGTGTCTTTGCGGACATGCTGCTTATTTACTTGTATACATGTACATGTAGTTATGTTCATGTACCACGATTTACAAGTAAATCATGTAGAGACTTTGTTTTTCAAGGCAGAGTAAACAGTGAAAGTTAAATGACTTCTCTGATCTCTTGACATGTAATGGAATCTAAACCACTTTTAAACATTTCACTTTCATACTCTGCATATTAAAATGAATAGGAAATACAGTATTGTGTGCATACATGACTTCAGGTCAAGTGTACATTAATGTATAGGTACCGAACATGTATGAACGAAAAGGATACATGCATAAAATACAGCATATCCTTGTACATCTAATTGATACTAAATTTAAACAGCCCGTTTGAAAGTTGAGAAGGAGTACATGTACATGTATAATGTAAAGAGGCGGAAGTAAAAGAGATTCTTTTAAAAATATTGTACCACTACCCCTAAAAACAATGATTTTAACCTGTTGAATAATACACACGTACACAAGAAGTTCTGATAAAAAGTCAAGATAAGATTGATTGGAATAACTAATATGAGATTGTCTCTAGAGCGAGTTCATACTTGAAAGAAAAAAGCCTACATTATAGGAAGCAGATTTTGCACATCGAACCCAAACAAGATTGTTATCTATCTTATCGCTCCAAGCAAATGGGGATAATTTTTGTATGTTTGTATTCACAAAGATAATGAATGTTTAATGACCGCAACTCAAATTCAATGTTAGTTGAAAAGCAAACATGAATGTACACAACGTAAACCAACTGATGTATACAAAAAAGACCATTTCCTATTCAAGAATTGGCACAAAGATCCTGAATGTCCACAGATCTTTCAAACAGGGAGAGGTCACATCTTGTGAATTTGCCAAAGACACATGTAAGGTCAAATACAAAAATAAAAACATGTGTAGCCTCCTGCCTTTTTGAAAAATAGGAAGGAGGAGGCCCTCTTGTTTTTCTTTTTTAAAATGGCTGCTCAAAATAGCCGCTGGGTACATATTCCCTGACGCGTTATTTGTTTCTGCGGCACAGATTGGGGCATGGTGCGTGTTGAGCCTATGGGAAGTACGTTCTTTCCCTTCTGAATAGTGTCTTCACGTACGTGAGACTAGTCATGTTCGCTAGCGCTGCGAAGAAGTTTGAATATCCATCGCGAACTATGTGTTTAGATAACATTCCTCTTCGTTTAAGTTAGTTAAGTTTTATTGACTAATTATTGTGATGTTCTCCTTATTGATGTGCTGCCTCCTCTTCAGATTTCAAATTGCATTTTAATTGTTGATGTAATGATTTTCCATACGGTAGTGGATTACATGTAACACTATTAAAATCAGACCTCTGCTACTAGTACGCACACGACCATTATTAGTCTGTAAATCAAGACCCCTTTAAAAAAAAAAGCCCCAATCTGTGCCGCAGAAAAAATAATGCTTCCCTGACAATCGGGCTATTTTTTTCAAGATGGTCGCCGGCATTTTTTTTTAAAATCAGAAATAGTTAAATAGATCATTTTAGCAGAACCGGTATGTTTTTCAAAAAACCAAAAAAAAAATCAAAAAAATTCAAAAAAAATTCAAAAAAAAACAAAAAAAACATGGCGTCCGAATACTCGAGTATTCGCTTGTAAGCATGGGAGTGTACTCGGGTACCTCATTACACTGTTGTGCACAGCCCCTAATCAACATGCATGTGTTCTTTTACATTATATGGTTTATCTACCATCAGCATGTGCCCAGTATACAGTGTATATAACCATGTGGTTCAAATGAATTTAAAGTCTATGCAGATGGTACAGGTACTTACAGTCATAATACAATGCATTTATAAGTCCTAAATATAGATCCATGTCTCAGTCAGTCTTCTCACGTAACCTTTCCTGAGTATCACATGTGACGGACCAGTTCCTTCAATGAAGACATTAATTCACCCGCTGTCCCTTGCCTCATTTCCTCTTCCGTTCACATCCACAGCCACATCTGTCGACCGACGACCCACATGCACATGATCTCTGTTTACGTATTGCAAGGGGCCGGGCTCAGCCTTTCCCCCTCCCTACTCCAGACTTCTTGGGACGATCGTGGATCACAATTACTCCATTTCCTATCTCTACTTGAGTGTACAAACATTACACCCTCTCATTGGCAGAATCTATTACTGGAATGGAGGTTTACATTCAATGACATAGATACAATGTTTGCCAACATGTACATGTCAAAATTGAAAAGACACCAATATTACATGTAAGCTCAGAGGCACATTCATGTGTAGTATTACTAGAAAGAAGAGTAAAAATGTATTATGCTACAGTATATTACTGAAATACATGATAATTCCACCGTACACAATATACATACACACTTTATAGTATAATTATGTGGGGGTAACAAAAATTATGTTCAGTACACAAAATACATGCACATTTACTGTGCACTATGTACATCAATATGTAAGAATAATCTATTCTATAAAAGAATGTCCTCTATAAAACTGAAGCAGGCTGAACTTATTTCATAATCCATACAGAGAAAACAAAAAAGTGAATCCCTTCTTTAAAAAATATGTCTTCATAAAGCAAGTTTCTCATGACCTTAATCAAGATACACGAGCATACATTAATGTATGGTTGCACTAATCTATGTACGACACAAATAAAAAAAGACAGCAATGGATGTTTAACTCACCAGAGATTTGTGATATATGTCCAAAGAAGACACTGATTTATCAGGTCTTTTTCTCTCTACGATCTGTGACAATGGTGCTGCACCTTACGGCTGCTTTAGAGACCTACAGGATAGGAGCTGTCGGCGCAACATGAGGGCAATGACGAATGGGAAAGAGTAGAGCGGTCGGTCGGTGTGTAGGTGTGTGTGTGTGCCAAGAATTCTCTGTCCATACACATCAACCAGACCAGGCAAAGAGAAAGAGAGCGAGGGGTTGAACGGGGAAGGAGGAGGAGGAAAGGGAAGGGTTGATGGAAAGGGGAAAGGGGTAGAAAGAAGGGGGAAGGGGAAAGGGAGTGGTGGAGGAGAAGAGGAAGGAAAACAGTGAAAGCGAGAGAGAGAGAGAGAGAGAGGGAGAGAGAGAGGGGAGAGAGAGAGAGAGAGAGGGAGAGAGAGAGGGGGGAGAGAAAGAGGGATGGAGTGAAGTGAAGGAGTTGAAAGGGTGTGGGCAATAGAAGGGAAGAATAGTGAAGTGAGAGTTTGAAGATGAAATGGGGGCAGTGAAAATGAAAAATCAAAGAAAGAGAGGTCAAATAAAAAAGAAGAGTGAGAATAGAGGAGTAATTATCAAAAAGAAATTAGGTGTAGGAAAGACATAGGGACAGAAGAAGAAAAGATACAAGAAAAGGAAAGTTAATGAAAGATAGAGAGATGTGGTGGGCAAGAAGAGAGAGAGACAATAAGAAAAATGTTAAACACAGGATTCAAAGTATACATGTACATCACATCACACCTCTGTGTTATATTCATACCAATACAGCCTGTCATTTTAGACTGTAAATATAGCAATATTCCTATGTGGAAATCGAAACATCACATCAGAAAGTCAGAAACAAATATTATTTCACTTCATGAAAAAATTAGCATAAATTGCATAATTATAATAATAAAAACGGTGCTTATAATTACCACCAAAGTCATATGATTTTGTTGGGCATAACACAGGAGAATTAATCTTCCTTTAATTCCATTTTTGCTTTTATACTTTATAATAACCATCCATACAGCAACAACAGCAAAAAAAACATTTTAACCTTCTCAATATGATGAGTGTCTTTATGTGTTTGTGGAGGAATGACGGATGTACATGTATTTCAAGACTAATGTAAACATAGCCTCAGGAAAACATCATATTACTCATGCAGCACTGACGATATGATACATCGATATGATACATCGTTGCATGTACATGGTAGCAGCTGACACTCAGCAAAAAAGCCTTCAATCTTTTGTGACAATCCGAATGCTTGCCTGAGGCCTGCTCGACATAGCAACAAAAATGTAGTTTGTGCATTAATAACAGGCTAATGAAATAACTTGTCACTAGGTCCCCAGGAAAGAAACATCCATAAATTTGAATATGTTTATTCATCTTTATTCAGGAAGGTATACATATAACATAATAATAAAGATGTGACATAAAACCCAGGACAGAGATTTGTATTACATTAAATGCATCTCATGCAGGGTTGAACAATTACAATACACAAAAACAAAACGGAAAAGAGAACATCATAACGTCAGTGTTTTAAATGAAAACATTAATAATTCCTAACAAAATAACAAAAACAAAAATAATTATTACTTTCTTAGTTAGCAATGCCAAGTGAGCTCAGATAGGCTGTAAAAAACAATATAAACCCACAGAATATACTTTTGAAATATTACTTTTCCCAATTACATAATTATGCCACACCTTACATTTAGGTACCGTCATCATATCTGTCAATATAGTAGCATGCGTAATCACACCACGAGAACCTGTCCCCATAGAGAGAGGGGGAGAAAGAGAGAGAGAGAGAGAGAGAGAGGGGAAGAGAGAGAAAGAAAGAAAGAGGGAAAGGAAGAGAGAGAGAAAGAGGGAGAGGGAGAGAAAGAGGCCTCGCTATTGCAAGTCATACAAATTAGTTAAACCACTTACACTCCCAAGTAATGTTGTGATTGCCAGGTGCGTTCCGACCGGCTGTGAAAAATAACATACGACCCAAACAGTACGGTTTTCAAGATTTCATTTCTCAGTTGTGGATACCTTACTTTGCATTTACATGTTTTCAACATATCTATAAGTCTTTTCTTGTTGTCAGGAGTTATCAAACCTCGGGAACCTATCTCTATACACATTAATTTGGGAGTCCAGCCGGCTTCTGAGATATCATGTGTTAGTCCGGCGTACCTGTCAAGCTTTCGTTGGTGAGCCTGTTGAATGTTGGTTTCAAATGGAATTGTCAACTCAAATACTAGTATTTCCTTTTTTCTAAAATTAATGAAACATAAATCAGGTCTTTGTTGTGTTGGAACAATGGTTGGGGGAACCGTCCCTCCACTGATTGTCTCCCCTTCCACGTCAGCATATACTTGGTGATCACTATCGAGGCCGTTCTGTTTGATGGTCTTTAGCAGATTATGTACAATGTTATTGTGGCGCCACGTGTATCTATTTAACATTTCCTGACAATTATTCAATACGTGATGCAAAGTACCTTTGGCTTGACATAAACTACACAAGTCATTTATTCGCTTACCCCATCTATACAAGTTTTTATTACTCGGCAGACTATCAATCGCTGCATTTATTGCAAATTTCATAACTCCTTGTGGTAGATTGAAGATGATGGACTTCCAGGACAAGTCACAGTTTTCTATTTCTAGTACCTTCATGAATTCACCTTGGACTAGGAGAGGTTCTATTTCATTTTTCCACTTTTTCCTGCTTTCCTCTTTCAGGTTCATTTTGACTGATTTTTTAGTATCTTTCCAATTCGTTTGTAAACTGGTTTGATGAATTTGGTGTGCAACCTGAATTGTAGATGACTTTCTGGTCCAGTTTTCCTCTCTGGCCAGTTGTTGATCTAAGGCGTGAACTACCATTTCGTCGCCTTTAACTTTCGATCTACTGTAGGCAAGGCAATGACATGTTTGGTAGAGTTCAGAAATAGTGGGAATATTAAGCCCCGCTGGGGCATGAACTACAGCAATATTGGCACCACACCGGGGGATGCCCATCCATTTTTTAATGTATTTGTCTAGAAGTGTATCTAGTTGTCCAAGGTGAGTTGCATGAAGGTCATGTACAGTTAACATATATCTCATAGAGGAGAGAGCATAATCATTAAGAATTCTTAGCTTATACTCGTTTTTTATGTTTACACTATCTATATTCGTGAGGGTACTATCAACCTTATCTCTGATGAAATCATATGTTTCTGAAGTCTTCATCCTGAAAGTTATTTGAGATCCGAGAAATTTAATAGGATTATTTTGTACAGATGCAATTTGTTCCCTAGCTAAGCAAAAATCAATAACTGTTGGTTTACCGCCTGAAATTGATAAGGAACGACACTTCTTAGCTTTGACTGTTAAGCCCATACTACTGAGAAGTTTATCTACTTCTTGAACAAGTTTTTGATGATACCTTTTATTTCCAGTTATCAGGTTAAAGTCGTCGGCATACGGGGTAGTTATTAATTTCTGGCCGGCGAAATCGTAGCCATATTGCTGCTTCTGGGTTTCAAGATATTCAATAATTGGGTTGAAGCACATGAGAAATACAATTGGGGATAGAGGGTCTCCCTGAAAAACCCCTTTCCTGAAAGCAAAGCGTTCCGATTGCCACCCCGGACCGCATACTCTGCCATTTAGTCTTGAGTAGAGAACATCAATGTAACGGGCTACTGGTTGAGGTATTGCGTAACGGCTTAATGACGTAGAGATCAGCTGATGACTCACGCTGCCAAACGCGTCGGCCAGGTCGAAGAATGTGATGTGCAATGTTTTTTGTTTACATCGAGCATGTTTCAGAATTTCATGTACGACTTGGTTGTGTTCTATACAGCCGTTCACTCCGTTAATGAATGCCTTCTGGACCCGTTTATCTATGAATTCATTGGCTGTGAGATAGGTTGACATTCTCTCCGATAAGATCTGATTAAATATTTTACCAATGCAACACGTCAAAGATATCATCCGGAAATTTTCTGGTTTTGTTGTTTCACCAGATTTGAAAATTAAGGCAACTTTTGATTCGGACCACATTTCGGGGGGATCACCACTTTCCAAAATCTTATTGTATAATGTTGCCAGGAAGTGGTGGGTACAGTACAAGTTTTTTAGCATTCCATACATCAGACCATCATCACCGGGTGCTGATCTTGCTTTTTTCCGTTTCAGAACATTCTTAACATCCTTGGGTTTGAACGAGTTCATATCGAAGCTTTGGTAGTTTTCCGAATTCACGTTGACGTACGGGAACCAGGACAACGACGTAAGATCAATAACATTGGGGACGCTGTACTTTGTACAAAAATATTCGTCCGCTTCCATCTGAGAAAACGTTGGCCGAGGTGACTTTTCATGTAACGAGCCATTACAAACTTTCTTCGAGAAATCATAGAAGTTATCCCGAAATCTTTTCTCCAAGTGGGCTCTAGATTTTTCGTCCCTGTGTTCCTTTGTTTTTTTCTTTAAGTACGATATTGTTTTTATTGCAAGTTTAAATGCTTCCCGGTCCTCTTTGGTTGCATTTTTGCCGAATGCTTTTTTTCGTAGTAGGTTTTTTCCGTTTCCTAGCCTGAGTAAGCGTTTTTGGTTCGTGTTCAATATACATCTGGTTGGTTTGATTTTCCAGAAATTCATTTTGCTCCTGAAAATATTCAGTCACGATATCGACAAAAGAGTTTGCTGCCACTTTAGGGCTAACAATGTTGGAGCCAAGATCATAATGAAGGGGGGCGATGCGATCTTTCACAGCTAGGTTGTGAACGTTCCATTCAGAATCACTCAAGTATGGGATAGTGAATCTTCTACCTTCTGTTCTTTTAATGGCAGCAATGCAGAGAATGACTATTGAGAGTACGTACCTGAACTCCATGGTTAGGCCTATATATCAAGCGGAGTCTTAACAAAGAAGCACGCCTGACGTAGCGGCGCAATGGAAGGTAATCTTCCGATAGGTGTAAATGATTCACAGTGAGATTTTTGTCCTCGTAAAATATCAAAATATCCACAATTTCGCACACTAATTGGTCTGCAATATACCGGTATACGAAGAGCACAATACAAACTCACAGAAAGTATCACACAAAACAGGATGAGGGGCAGCCTGCTGACAAAATTTGCAAATTTGCAGTGGTATCCTGGAACCGTGTCAGTGGCGCCGTATCCTCATTTTCAGATTTTAAACCCGTCTATTAAGGGTGAGGGAGGGGGGGGGGGGTAGTCTGCTGGCACAGACCCTAATTTGACACTTAATCAAAAAATCATTGTGCCTTGAGAGAAGTCTAGGCCAGCTACCTACTGGTTGTGTCAATAGCAGCTACAGTACATGGCCTATGGTAGTCTTATAGTGCAGACTCACTTTTACGACTGACCAGGGTTTGTGCTTTCAGACTAGGGGGGGGGGGGGGGCTCATACACTCTAACAATTAGCTTTGGGGGAGGGGAGGGGGCCTTATCGTTGGGAAGAACCCAAGCATGATTTTTACCACGGACACTGAGCATATATTTGTCTTTTCTTTCTCTCTGGACACAACAAATTAGTACATTAACTTGACATCAGTTTAGTGTCGATGCACAAAAATAAAATCTTTTCCTTCTTTTGATTATAATCATAATCATAGACTTGTCTCTACGGGCCTCAACTTCTCATCCCAACTGCATTTACATTGAGCACAGTTGGTAATCTTATACCCAAGCACACTTGTCTTGGTACACAAACCATTCCACATATTTTATTACCTGCTCAAAGTCCTATCACCATGGCAACTGTCAACTGTAATTCTGGTTCAGTGATGGACCATGTACCAGCTCTCTCTCTCAGTCTTTGGTTCAATAAAAGTAGAGTCTGACTGACTGATTGCTACTTCACAAGCTTTGGGTGTGGACGTGAGATCTGAGAAGGAGGAAAGAGAAAGGATGCTTAGACTCCAGATCAACAGATGGTACAATGTTCACTTTGTGAATGATTCATGCCTAATGTACATGATTGAATGTGATATGAATCAATGAATGTGCAAGCTTTTAACAGCCAGCAATAAGGACATCCTGTTTGGAAAAATCATTTTGAAATAAATGTACAGGTACATGTAAAGTACATACCGGTAATAATAATAATACATGAGATTTATATAGCGCCATTATCCATTTTAATTAAATGCTCAAGGTGCTTCAAAATATTATATGCAGTCTTCAAAGAATACTATGTAAAAGTATTAAAGTAATCATATTGTACTATTAAGAGCAATACCGCAAAATACATACGGTAGACATGCAATGTCCTATACTATAGTGCATACAGTATGCACAAGTCATGTACAGACTACAGTTACAAGACCAATTAATGTTGTCTACATGTACTTCAATAAATCACATAGTTAGTGCCAAGTAGGATTAATCTTAACCATCAACATTTGATGTATTCTCCATTGTTCATGACACTTATTGCAAAAGGTGATGTAGAATGGCAGATGGTAATTGGACCTTGAAAGTAATTTCTGATACACAACAATTTCGATACAGTAGGTTCCTGATGGTCAGGAAAAATCTACAATACGTATTAAATCTCATTTTGTGTACTAGTATGGAGTTGAAAAAAAGTTTTAAACCTTGCTCCAAATGAATTAAAAGTTTTAACTAGGCCTGAGTCAATCCGTTTAACCGACGGTTATCCGACCGCATTCATCAAAACCGTTTAGCATTTCTTGCTCCGTTTAACCGTTATTTGCATACATTTTGGAATGTGCTAATAGCCGATGATAAAGATAATCAAAGAAACCGCAGTGTAATGTTACACCCTGTCCGCTGCGCGCCAGCTTTCTGACAGCAGTAATCTCCATGAATGAATTTGTAAACAATAAAACAACCATGCCCTCTTCCCTATTTTCTCACCCTCTCTATTCCCTTCTCTCTGCAATGTGTTCATGTACCTTTTCTTATTACTGCACTCTCAGACAAGCAAAGTTCTAAATGTTTACACATTCGATGGTCAGTTCCTCTCACATCCCTTCTCCCCGAGTCTCTCTCTCTGTCTCTCTCTCAATATTAATATCAATCCCTTGCCGACTCGCCCCCCTAAAATAATGTTCATATATAAATAAAATACAAAAATAATGATAACAATAATAATTGAAGTTTTAGAAATATCAATCAACAAAGTCTTGGACATTGTGAGTAATTTAAGTTTTTGATCACACACAGCCACCCTTTCTATCTAAGCTAGTCTCACTTGTCTTAATTCTTCACTCTCTCATGTTCCTGTCTGGTCCATGCAGCTCTCTTTCATACACACACACGTACACACACACACCTCAAACATCGTACACACAAACCTCAAACATCGGCGCCCAATACACTGTACATGTGCATACACACAGATGGAGAGCACATGGCTTCTTGACTCCCACTGAACTGTGTGAGCACGTGCGGTCACCAACCTGTAATTTATGTTGGTATCAAACTCCACCCACATAGCTAGAGAACCTTCCTGATTGGTCACTAACTTGGATCAGCTCATTGCAGGGTGTGTCTTGGTAGTAAGTGTTACACACTTCCACATAATTTCATATGGCAATGATACATGCAGCAGGGACATGCTACATGTAGACATGTCCCTGCGTGAAGGGAGCTCTCTCCCTGACCACATGCAAACATTGCATTGCAAAGGCATATATAAACACGTCACAGATCAAGCTATCTTCACAGCGCGCGTAACTTTGCAAGGTTAATCATGATATCAGATTCAGATGAGGAATAATAAGATATTTTGTATGTTGTTTATTACTGGTCTCTGTTTATCAGAAAGACCCAATTTATGCCAAAGTCCGGCTCAGAATGCTCAGCGCGACAGTCTGAAGACCATCAGGCGTTCCGAGCTACATCGCTATTACAAATACTGTATTTTCACTTTTTCAGATTATTATTTAACGGTTAAACGAAACCGCCGGTATACTTTTAACGGTTATCCGTTTAGCACAAAAACCGTAATGACTCAGGCTTAGTTTTAACGTTAGAATGTGAAGAGTTCAGAAGCGATTTGTAACTTCCGAGTTCTTATTAGCAATCAAAAGTTTGATTCTCGGGTTAACACAGATACGAAGGGCAATAAATAATATAATGTGATGTCATAGAGAGTATGCGTATAATGTATGGTTCTTTGAGATGGATTCATGAGAGCATTGTATAGTACTGAAAGTTACACTGTACATAAATTTATACTAAATATATTGGGAAATTGGGGGAAGGATGTTAATTTGTGTCATCCTTCTGTATCTCAGCAGGCAATATAATTACCTTTGTTGAATTGTATAAGCCTGGACATGTAAGTGAATATATCTTATTCTCCATTTTAATTCTAACTCCCCGTCCCCCTCCCCACACACACACACACACACACACACACTTCTAAGACTATGTTCCTTCATGTTCTGAGGCTTATACTTACAAAGGCATGGTGCCTATACTGTACATGTACATTAGTATGTAAGGAGGATGAAAATGTTCTTCTTATAAAGTTGCAATCAATCAATGCAACAAACATTCCGTCATGCACAACTCTACAGGCAGGTCCTACACTGTATCTGTCAACTACTGGGGGTAGCTAGAGGGCGAGTCATGTGACATGTTAATGAACCATTGACTTAACTCCACGCACCCGCTGACAAGATTACACCCGTACTTATCCCAAATCCCCTCTAATTAGGCGTTGGATGTTGACAAATTTTGGGTGTGCTACATCAAGCGGGAGAGACAGAGGACACTCACTCTCAGATGCAGACATGATCAGCCTCATTTCAAGGCTCAATGATTACACTTATTTCCTTTTGAAACTATCCATTAATAGTCCTTCCTACATGTACATTACATCTCAAACTTGGAAAATGAGGATTTAGGCCAAAAAAAATTTTTTTTTAATGTTTAGCGTCCTGTCTTTTGAAAAATAGGGAGGAGGCCCTTTTTTTTCAAAATGGCCACTACATGTAGGTACATTTTCCCTGAAAGTCGGGCTATTTTTCAAGATGGCCGCCAGCATTTTTTTCTTTTTAATCAGAAATAGATCATTTCAGCAGTGTATTTTTCCATTAAAAAAAAAAAAAAAAAAAAAAAAAATGTTTACCAAGGGGGGTAAAGAAAAAAAGGAGGCAGATGCCAAAAGGGAAGCAGGTGGGGATGCTAAACCTGATTTTTTTTTTTTTTTTCGTTTTGTTAAATGGCTTTTAATAGTGGTCTGCTCTCTCCTACTGTACACTCTGGTCTACCGGTACCTTTATTTACATACTGGTCCAAGAACTTGATCCCGAGTCTCGTCTTCCATGATATGGTGGTGTTACAGGTCAGTATCCAAATAATTACATGTAAATCTGATTGATTTTGACCTGGATCAGTATAAACCTTATAAATCACAAATAAACAGACAAACAAACAAAATACCTCTTTCTCTTTTACAGAAATAGCAAATGAGAAAAATTATACATATACATGTATATACATGTACAGTGTGTGTAGTTAATTTACAAGTAGTTTGTAAATATTTAGGATTGTATACAAACTTTTCTTAAAGTTGATTTGAGAGATAGGAGAAATAAATAATTTCACTATGAAGGGAGGCTAGATGAGTCCTTGCTGCATACAATAAACAGGATGCACTCAATGTTGTACATCTAATATTTGGCAAGCCATTATGATATCATATGAATGTGTAAATGAAGGTGTACATGTATATTCCAATAGTGATGACTTAAAGATAAAGACCAGTTATGGTCATGCGATTACATTGTGAAAGAAACGTTCTGGAATCATCAAAATGATAAGAAATTTGGCCCAGTCTTGATAAAGCTATAAGCACTGTACACAGAAAGGTGTAGAAGGGACTACCCCGACACGAGCATAACACGTGCGTTATATCTATCAGGTCTAAATAGATATAATAATTTACCAAATATATCAATTAGTCGGCGGTTTCTCGGTAAAATTTGTATGATCGCGTCAAAACATATTCTTTCACATGGTTGATAAGAGCTTCCATTTCATTTTTGAGAGGGGGGGCATTTCCAAAACTGGTCTTTACCTCATAAACAGCAGTCTTGTACAATGGATGTTTTGACTGATTACAAAAACTACATTGTGATAGATAAGATACAGTATAGGTTAGCGAATAAAATACAGGCTAGCAGGGAGCGATTTAGCTATATAGCTCCAAAGTACCAAAATTTGAATTACCAGGTATTAGCAAATGTACTAAAGTAAAGAAGAAAAAAAGTTCTATTTTATTTTTAAATTGTACCGGTAATTGGTATTTCAGACTATTTTTACAGACAATAGAAAGCACCCATATAAAATATGATTTAAAAAGAGTAATTAAATACTTCAACAGGATTTTAAATTCATTTTGCTTCTTCCTGAATTAAACAGTAAACCTTTAGATTGTACATCTACAATGTATGTAGTCCTGCAAAAATCCCAGGATTTAGCTAATTGTGGTACAATATAACGTTTTGTGTCAAGTTTTTTTTTCTAGCAGTAGCTTCAAAGCAACAAAATATTGAAGAAGGCTTGGGAGACAGCCAAGTGATTCTTACTCTTTAACTAAATGTACTGTACATGTATTGGGGCTACATCTTGAATTTTAATCATCAGTTTCCTTATTAAATTTGGCATACAACAAATTTTATAGGCATACACTGTAAATTCTACAAAGCTTTTACACATGTCTGCTAAAAGGACAAAAAACCTTGCCATTCTTTGGCAAGATCTATTACAGGACATACATCACTGTACAATACAATTCTTGTGCGGGACTGGCTACCTATAGCAAGGAGAAAATTACTAAAAATATTTTTCAAATATGTTTCTGATTACATATTACACTGGAAGATTACATGTATGAGACCCAAAATTCCCAAGCACACCATAAATATCTTTCAAATGAATGAAAAGAGAAAGGAAGGAAAAAGAAAAAAGTAGGACAAAGAAACTAGAAGGGAAAAGAAAAAGCATTCAAATTTCAAAATACAGACATTTTAATTGTCTTAGTTGTTGATGAACTGAACACATTTTCAAATTGCATGGTTTATGTAGAAACATATTACCAATAAATATATGATTCATTTTCTATTCAATTCAATTATTTCATAAAAATCACAAGAATAAACATATTCATGGAGAAATTTGATGGATCAAACACCCCAAAAAGCCAGTGGATCCATATCTAGACAACATTGATGAAGCAAAAAAAAAAAATTATAATAAAATAAATACAAAATAACGCAACAAATACTACAGGTAGGTACAGTACAGTATGCGTTCAAATTGTGTCACTGAGAGTGCTTGCACGCTTAGGAGAGGATGGGGGGATGTCCTCCAAAATGCAGATTTGTCATTGGTTTTCACAGGAAATTCCATACCAAGTCATATTTTTTAGGTAGAGAAAAATATTATCTTCAAAATGATATGCGACAAATATCCTGAAGTTCTTGACTTAGTTAGATACTATTGTCCTGATTAACCCTGTAAGTTGAGGCTTTGATCGGATCGGAAGATCGGAGCGACACCCTCGTACCGTGATCGGTATTCGGCTAAAATAATCGGCAAAAAAAATCAGCAGAATTTTTTTTTTTTAATGACAAAGTTTTTGGCTGTCATATGCCGCTGGGCTAGGGGTAGAGCGAGGTGCTCACTCTCTCACATTTACAGGCAAGTTTTTGTTCAACTTTAAGTTGTTACATAATCACAATTCATTTTTCACTCTCAAAACTCACTCTGTATTTTTATAATCCCTCTCATTCTATTCTACTGTATGAAGAAATATTAGGCCCTCTCTAAAAACAAAGCACAGAACCGTAAAATCTTTGCTGTTCTTGATCAATTACATGTAAATTGTCAACTGTTACTGATGTCGTACTCGAGCTCGCTGCTGGTTCGTCCGATCCATATTCGGGGCCGAGCCGGCTAGCTGCATATGAATATGAGTACAGTGCATGGAAACGTACATCATCAGGCTAGCTAGCTAGCGAGAAGTGAGATCGAGGCTTACGTCTTCGATGAAAGGGAATAAAACTAAAAGGCAGAAAACTTTCTAACTTCTTGATTTTGGTGGCATAATTCATTCAAAATTCAAATTTATCTGTTTTTATTATCATTTAGTTATTTAAGACTTGTATGTGAGGAATTTCATTGTTAGCGTGAGAGCATGAGAATTGAGTGAAATGTGTGAGTCTCACGCTCAATGCGTGAGTGTTGGCAGCCCTGCTATAGGCTAGAAGAACATAGTCTAGACCCTAGATCTAGATTTCTGCCTCCTGGATTTAATTCATCTTTATGATTTCTGGTAGACAGAAATGACCCATATCAGACGGTTATTGACATTCCCCATATACAGAGATCTCGTACCGTGGGGGAAATCTCGAGCCAGCGATGAACATCTTTTCGTTCACGACATTTTCTCCCCGATTTTCTTTATTTAGATCTAATTTTCTGATTTCTAAATCAGATATAAAATAGGTTGGTATATTTTTTGTTCTAATTACAGTTATCAAAATTTGATAACCTATTCTAAAATGCGAAATTTACAGACTTACTTATATGATTTATCCAATGTGTATCTCAGAACTGTGAAACAGTACGTTCATGCACTCAAACATAGAGCTATATGACCCGACGACCGATATATTTCCGGGTCAACCTACCGAAACATAGCCAACGGCCAATCAGGGCACTCGTTTCGCGGGTCAAGCCGGGCCGACTTGTACTAGTTAGTTGACTACAAGACTTTCTCGGATTAATCATTAATTTAGGATCTAAATGAGCAAGTTATCGTAAGTCAAATAAGCTATATAGACCTAGGGGTCTATATGTTTTTTGTTTAATATAGATCTAGACCCTAGACTCTAATTATTGCAATATTCCAGCATTTATGAGGTAGGGTAGCGCGCCCAGTATTCGGTCAATTCCCAGTATTCGGTCAGACAGCCGTTTCAACAGCTGTAACAATTAAAAAAATAATTTATGAGCCACGAAACTTGCACAAATCAGGCAGCTGAACAATTTTTCTTAACTCTCAAAATTAAATCAGATTTAGGGCCCCGGAAAGATCTCCAACTTAGCTCGAAATTTGTCAGTGTCGCACAACTTTCCGCACTTCCGCGTTCTCTTAGCACATGTGCTAACATGCATAGCCATATGTAGAAGTCTATTGCGAAACAACTACGTGTGCTGTCACAATGAATTTAGTATGTGTGTGAAGAGAATCACTTCCGTGTTCGCTCCATCGCAGCGAATTTGCAAATGACGCACTTGCCGATGTGCAAGAGGTATTTATACGATACCCTTGCCATGCGGTATCGCTCGGCCAGTATTCGGTCAACGCATTGACATTCAGTGCTTTATCGCACAATTGTGTGAAAATAGTGTGCAAATAAGCTACGCTCCTTTGCAACGGAGATACCACGCACAAATTGCGTGACCGAATTCTAATCGGCACGACCGAATTCTGGGCAGAAAAATGCTCCGTCTCCTTTCGGAAGTATTTTGCTTATCATTATTCTATATTTTAAGTGACTATAAAATCCTGTTAGAGGAATAATTTCTTTTCTTTTGATGGGTAGATTGCCAAACAAAAGAGGTAAGAATTCAAAATATTAGTGATTTCCCCTTAAGTGACCAAATACTGGGCACTCTACCCTAGATCTATGTAAAGTCGATGAAAATCCTGTTGCATATTTCATTCATCGCAGTCCTGCCGAACCGAACCATTTGTTCCGTACAGTCCCCATAGGACAAACTTCAGTCTCTATAATCGGAGGTCTAGTGGAGCCAGACGTAGTCTCAGTGGAACAACCGACGATTAGAGAGACTGAAGCTTTTGGTCTAACTTTAACGTTAGATTTCTGGTTGCAGAGGGGGCAAACAAATTGAGAAGGAAGAAACAAGAGCTTGAACTGGAAGCCTGACTGCTGAGAACATACTACATAGTCTAGCCTTCTTCCAGAATCTCGGGTAAAGGTAGGTTGAAGTATAAATGTAAAGTGATTTATAATCAGGCTCTTCTCAGCTCTCCGCGCCCGCCCCGCCGTCGCGACATTGCACTGCGTCCTTAGCACCGAATATCAACAATCACTCGCTGGGCAAGTTCCGGTCAGTCCGTATTTGAACATCTCGTTGCAATTGCACGCCCCCGGCCCCAGCCAAAATATAAAAATTCATGATTCTCTAGATTTAAAGCAAAACCTCTGGAAATAATTTCGACAGCGTGTCACACTGACCATGAAATGTGTTGTACTGCAAAGTTCAAAATCAATCACATTAGAATAAGGATAAATATAAGAAACGTCAATTTACCCAATCTCTGGTCCAGATGTAACCAGACGGCACTCCTAGAAATGTTCATCGAGTTGTTCGCTGGTATTTGGCGTGATGATGCGGAATGAAAGGGAATAATTCGTCCGCGCGGAATCAGCGAAGGGAATCTTTTCCTAGGCCATTAATGTGTGAAGATGAACAGTAGATGGCGTCCCCGATTTTTACCTCTGATGAACAATCCAGTAAAAATAAGTAGGAAACAATTCTTCTTCTTCTGCTTTTTTTTCCTTCTTCTTCTTCTGCTTATTCTAGGCTATGCAGCCTATCACGGAAATAAACTAAAGATTGCAAGCGGTTTTATTAATTTGTTCCATTTTTTGTGATTACAAGAGATTTAAGACTGTAGAATGTTGATAAGCAAATGCCTGGCATACTTTGAGTGAATGAGTAAGATACAATTTTGATTTTGTTTTGGTTCAGTCTTCCAAGGTGACAAGACAGAAAAATCGCCTGAACGTCTACTACCACCCTACCATCCTACCTCTACTACCATTCTGCATCTACCCCCATCCTACCTCTACTACCATAAACTATAACCTACTTTGTTTTTCTATCCATTAATCCACTTTTTAAATTGAATTATACTTTTTTTTTATCATTCAATGTCGTCCCAAAACTTGTTTAAACATGTTTTTGTTTTCTTTTGTAAAAAATAATTTAGTTGAATAATTTTGAAACAGTTGGGTCGATCTTACCTCGTCATGTCTTGATTGCATATTATACAACTCACTCCCAGATTCTGATCAAATGATTGGTCATGCACGGTCACGCCATTCATTTACCAAGACTATCACACGTTTTTTCACTAAAAAGCATTCAATAGTTTCCATACTCTCACACGTTTTTTAGCGAATGTACACGATTCGCAGTAGTGTGCGTTGAGGTTAGAGCACTTAATACTGTCACAAAACAATTTTGAATGAATTTTTTTTACATCAAATAACAAGGATCTAGGAGTTTTGTTGTATAGAACGAATGATGCATGTTTTCATTTGTTCATTATACGATCTATCCGCCCTTGTTGAAGCTGTGTGTATCTATCACACTCAGCCTAACGGCTTCGTGCAATAGATACACCCATCCTGAACTCAAGTGCGGATAGATCGTATAATGAACTTATGTGCATGCATCATTTGTATACTGTTGAATTTTAATAAATATGAAATATCTCATTTATCATTTTAAAGAAGCAAACCATCAAGAAGTAATTAAAAACAGAATAAAAACCACAATTTGTTGATGCTTGACAAACCATTTATTTCACCTGAATGATTTCATCAAAATGGTATAAAATTAGATGCACTGCAATTTTCTTTTTGTTTATACATGAACAGGTACATGATCGAAATTCATAAAAATATGATTATACTGGTTCCTACATAATATACATTTATACATGGATGTAATAACTGGCCATCTTTTTGCAGACTTAGTATTGTATTTGTGCACTTAGAAACAACCATATTAAGCATCTAATAATGTTTTCTATATCAATTTAACATATTCAAATCTGGATTTGGATAAACCGTATCAATGCTTTCAGGAAAAACACTAAAAACTATTTTATGATATCTGTAATAGGGCTTACTTCAAGTCTATTCACTATGATGAATTAAAAACAAATAAGTTTGTTCACAAATTTTCAAAGAACAAAAATTCATATTTAAGAAAACTGTCTTTCAAGACTATTTGGATTGCTTCTTTTCAAAATGGAAGACTTAGACCCACTCAAGATCTTAATACAGACAATTGCCCTTTTACTCAGATTAAAACCGTATGTACACACGTTTTCATATAATCCATGACTGGGACAATTGGACGGTAGATAACCATCCTTTGACAAAACAGGATATTTACTTAGCATTGACTATACAGGATATGTTTGGCTAGATTCTATTTTCTGTCATTACCAGTACTTAAAGTTACATTCAAAAGGACACATTAATGTTAGGAGTGATTAATTATTGAAATGGCAAAAAGTCTGCTAAACATAACAAAAATGAGATAAAAATGCATTAAGTTCGGCATTAGTCCTGATCATTACATGATCTTTCCCTTTAAAGGCTGAAATATAACGTACTTTGACATCCATTTCTGCCCAAAATAAGACCAATCTTTAGGAACTACTTTAAAGTCTGAAAAAAGTTTACCCTGTATAAGGCTTTCAAAATTGTTGAGAGTGGTCCAGATCCACCATACCTAGAAACGTATGCCACTATCGACAAAATATCATGTAGTAAAGTTTCTGATTCTAAATTTTTCAATAATTCTTAAAAAATAGGGGAAATTAAAAATATATATTCAGTAGCAGATTTGATTTAAACCAAAGAGTACTGATGAAAATGAAGGTATTATTTATTCCTGATCTAAAAAAGGTTGTGATAATACAAGATATATTCACATATATGAAACAAACACATGATAAAGACCCTTATCCCATAGCAAGTTCATTAGCAGCAGCATAGCGCCCTGTTACGTTGTGGTAGATCTGTCTCTCTATGTCAAGGAGGAGTGAGCTTGCTCCGAAACGAAAGAGTTCTGGAGTCAGCCAATCGTTGCCAAGCTCTTCCTTCATGAGAGCAAGCCAGACACAAGAATCCTTCGCTGTTCTGATTCCTCCGGCTGGCTTGAAACCAACCTAAAGATCAAACACAAATCATCATGTCTTAGGATAGCCCTCCTGCATTTAAGGTATGTTAATTATGCATTCAATATATTTGTTTAATTTCATTTAATATCTGTATAAAATTATATACACTTAAAATATTGTATCAACCCATATTATGTTCATGAAAATGTATGATGAAAACAAAATGCAGAAACCAATAAATCAAATCAAATATTGTGTAATACAAGCTTTACATGTAAACTAAACATTTCAAAACTTTCTATTTATCATGTAATTCATTTTGAAACAAACATGAAGATGGCTTTAAAAAAAAAACACTTTTAATCCTTCTGCAGCACATTTTGTTCACAGTGAAAAAGCAAACTGAAATCACAAAAGCCCCTCTCTCTTTTACCATGCAGATTCTTTGATGACATAATTATAAACATTTGAATATCTTAAACATTGACTCCTGAAACCAGATGGCTTCTGTTTTAAGCCTATAAGAATTTTGAAAAATTGTAGTCAACAGGATAATACCGTCTGTTTACTATGCAGCTTGTTCTGTTACAAGCTCAGAATCAGTCATTATATCAGACTGAGACAATATTAGAGAGAAAACCACTATTAGTAGGCTTAAACCAAAGTGAATGGCAAACATGATTATATATATTGCCACGTTTACCCTTCAGCTTTCTCCATTTTATTTCTTCTTTCCAATCTTAAAGAAGAATGAAACCCAACCAACAGTAGCTGATAATCTTATTCAAAACTGTCACCCAGTTAAAAATCTTGAAAGTACTCCTATTTGATGACATAGCAAGGGAAACAATCTCTCCAAAGTTTGCAGCTTTCTTGTTATTCATTTTCCCACGAGAGTTGCCATTTAAAATAGTGATGTCGGAGAAGAACAAGTCTATTGACCAGCATAAAATGGATAACGTGTTGCATAATGGCTGGGTATATTATACATCGAGAATCATCAATGCGAAAAGCAGCAACCTTGTTGCATCGGCATCTGAAACAGGTGATTTTTTGGAGCCGATTTACATTTAACAATTGAATTATGCATACCCCTTGTAAATTAAATGTTTTTGTGATTTCCATAACTCAAGAAAGGAAAGTGGACTGGTTGAATTAGTACTTTGTTGGATACTTTTAGATTTACGTTTAATATGTCACATTCTCAGGAAAAATGAAATTTTAACATACTTAAACAATTACAGTCCTTTGTTAGAGTATGAATAATTTTGCTGTTAACTGTATGTATGTGTTTGTCACTCTTTTGAATAATTGGTGAAGCTCTGTCTGACAGAGCAACAACTTATGCGTGCCAAATAACAAAAGAAAATGCTCAACTGTTTGAAATAGCTGTAGTAATTTCAAGATATTTTTAACTGGCTCACAATCTTTAATAAGGCTGTCAGCTAAAGTTTGTTGGGTTTCATTTCCCTTTAACAAGAAGTAACAAACAATAAATACAAACTAATGGTAAAAGAAAATATCTTTCTCCTTAATGGATGCAAAATTTGTCTTTTTGTTTACTGAAATCAATTAAAAAAATATCCTTTTAAACATTTTGAGATACAAGGGAAAAACTTACCTTAAATCCTGTCCTATGATAGTACTCTCTGATAGCCCTGACCATCACCAGGCCAACAGGTAGAATAGCATTAACTGCTTCCTTCCCTGTTGATGTCTTGATGAAATCAGCGCCTAGAAGAAAAGAAACCATCAGGGTTATTCAAAATACAGTCAAACCTGCTTTAGTGACCACGTGTACAGAAAGACCACATGTCTACAAAGACCACTTTTTTGTTTGTTTCCCTTGAAAGTGGTTTCTCATTGAAACATGTACTGAAGGAACCTGCAAATATGGACCACCTGCCTATAAAGACCACTTTTCTTGTCTCCCTTGGGTGGTCTTTATAGACAGGATTCACTGTAACTGTAACAGACATATGTTCCACAATAACAAAGTCAGATACGTTTTTTGAGGAATCTTCTATAAATGGCGTTTCAGAGGGCAATTATAGATCCATAATTCAAGAGTTTATTATAGCCTTCCTCTTTTGACACAAGTGCATCTAAGATACATACTTGGTGCAACGTCACTACCCTAATCAAAGTCTTTAGAGTTTACACAAAAGTTATTTCTTTTCATTACATCAAACTAATCATGGGCCGAAATTCAACTAACATCGTAACCTGATGTTGAGTTTGCGCAGGATCTTAATCAGAGTTTGACAGAGCAAGTATTTTTCAATAGACCACAGTCAAATTTTACTTTTGTTAAATATGACTAAGACCAAGTATTAGGTTTCACTGAATTAGTCAAATATGGGCTCATGATTCTCAAGAAATTTAGTTATAGCAGAATCCACTGGAATCTTGCTATACTAACCTATCATTATAACATTATAAAAATCTTAACACTGGCCAATTCACCACTCAAGAAAATGGTCTTCAAAATTTTCCAGTAGAAGATTCAACATGAGTCTGCCCAAATCAATCTTTTTAGTGAGAATGGTCTCAGAAATCTTTTATAGTAGAAGATTTAAATTGAATCGACCTATATTAACCATTTTAGTGCAAACTTTGCTAATAATAAATGAATGAATGAATGAATAAGATGCCATCATACACACATAGCCAGTATGTTTGATAATAACAGAATCGACTAGTGTCGGCCTATATCAACTATTGTTGTGAGAACTTTGCTAACAATGAATGAATGAATGAATGACTTACCTGCCATCATGCAAACTAAGCTGGCTTTATAAACATTGACCAAAGTCCCAAGTTCACCTGTCGCCAGGATGGTCTTAAGATGTGCCTCACCACAAGCTTCTCGGAATAACCTCACCTCGTCATAGACACCTAAACAAACATCACAAGAACAACATTAACATTTAGGTGGAACAGGAGGCGAGTTGGTTCAGTCGGTAAAGCGTCTGCCTGTCGAAACAAAGATCGTTGGTTCGAATACAACCCAGATGGATGAATAAAGCCTGTGTTGTGCGTTAACGTGCCCCTTCCCTGTTTCATAGATGTAGGCTATGTTAAGTGGAAAACAATCATTCCCTCGGATAGGACGTTAAATGGAGGCCCCATGCAGAGGAGAGTTACCACCTTTGCAAGTTAAGAACCCACTGCACTATTTGTATAAGAGTAGGGGGAAACCCTGGTGTAGTGGTCCACCTGCACACTCCCAATCAGTTATACAGGGAGGAGAGACCCGAGGGATACATCTCCAAAATGAGTATTTACTATGGTCACTTAGATACACGCATTGTATCCATGCACATTAAGCGTGCACTAAGACTGAACCATAGTCAGTTATGAAGCTATCATACGTTATTCCCTGAATATTTAATCCATCATTATACAGCTAATGTTTCCTTATCACCAAGTCCTGCTGGCAGTATTGTCATTTACTAAATTTCGATATAAAATAGGGGGAGGAAATGGTTACACAGTATCACTTCACCAATATCTTAAAGGCCCACTACACTACTTGTAGCTACTTGCGCCCTCTATATAACAAACAATGCCTAATCGGTGACCAGTGGTCCCCCATGATCCTCTTTTTCTTATGTTAACTGAGAGCTGAGTTGATGAGATAACCACCTGTCCAGTGACCTTGCAGGGCAGTCTAATCCCTCCTGTAAACTACGGCAGATAAGCTTTAATCTGTTTTATAATATTTGATAAGATATGATAAAGCTTTTAAAAATAAAGCATTCACTTTCATGACATTTCTGTTTTTCTAATATAACTTGGGCTTCCGGTATGGACATCCCCTCTCAGGTTTTCATCAGCTGCCCCCCCCCCCCCCCTTTCATCCAATCCAGGCCCAATGTGCGCACCATCTCCAATCCCGAGAGGTCCTCCTATACCATGAGATTACCCACCTTTCCAGTTTCCAGCCAGTGCGTATGCTCTGTTGATGACGATGTCAATCTCCTTTGCTCCATCGGATACAGCCATCTGAATCTCAGCCAGTCTTGTTTTGAAGGGTGTCTGGCCAGCAGGGAAACCTGTTGCAACTGTTAACATAATCAAAATAATCTCATTAAAGTGAACCGGTAACATTGATGACAAAAACTGCCTAATTTTTGTATGAAATGTTACTTATTATATTCCTTCTACTGAACTAACCTCTTACATGTAAACAATTCTGAAAAAATTCTCAAACCACAAAGATATGAGTTCATACTCCTTCTGAATTGCAATTTCACATGTTTGAAGTTTTGTTTGTTGACCACGACCACGACCAAACGACCATACCTGGAAACCTTTCACAGCAACATTTAGGAACCTCTCGAGGTAAAATCAGGAATACAGGCTCTTTTGTAAACTTTTTATACAGAACATAACAGAAAAAAGAGATAAATCTAGGAATCAAAACAATAACTTGGAAGGCCAAAAAATAGGAATCATTCCCCCAAAATAGGAATGGTTGACAGCTATGATATGACCGTACCTTTGGCAAGGCATTAATCTACATTTGCGACTCAACACCCAAGAGAGAAATGGGGACCAGGTAGGGTGACAAATGCATTTGTGTTAATTGCAATTGCCCTCATGGTGACCGTATGGTAGGAATACTTCCCAGGAGTGAAGATGGTGCACATCATGCATGAATAAATCCGATGACTGGGGTAATAATATCTGTAAAGCGCTTAGAGACAGTATTTCATATTAAAGGGATCGTTTAACAATGTTAAATCTGAGATGCACGGCCCTACGTGTTAACAGTGTCTGTGATATGGTGTTATATTGAAGCCCTACAAAAATTGGGCTTCAAAATGATCAAGAAAAGCCTCAAAAAAGTAAAAACCTTTGAGCGATTGGTTTTACCATACTCGTTTACCCCAATAGACTGTAGTGTTATGAAAACCGTTTGACAAACGCAAAATTTGATTTCAATTTTCACTCATAAATATCTTGATAATCAGACAGGCGATCGGCATGTAAAAGTCATGGGGTTCCTGACTGACCGAAAGGTTTATAATTATCATTGCAGCATGAGCTAAATCAAGGATTCTTTTTAAAGGATGATATTTACCTGAAGCTACTGGGATCTGAGGAGCACCAGCCTGTTTGAGAGCATTCACAGCATCACACACTCTAGATGGATACACACATACAGCTCCTACTGTGAGACCTGTGTACATACAGAGTGGAAATATAATTATGTATAGACACACTCTGGATGGATAGACACTTACAGCTCCTACTGTCAGACCAGACAGTGGCAATATAATTATGTATAGACACACTCTGGATGGATATACACATACAGCTCCTACTGTCAGACCTGTGTACATAGACAGTGGCAATATAATTATGTATAGATACACTCTGGATGGATATACACATACAGCTCCTACTGTAATACCTGTGTACATAGACAGTGGCAATATAATTATGTATAGACACACTCTGGATGGATATACAAATACAGCTCCTACTGTCAGACCTGGGTATATAGTGGAAATATAATTATGTATATGTTATTAAGGGTTTCATCATGCCATTGCTAATGATGGACTGCAAATGGTGAGTGAGCATAGCAATGTCATTACTTTGCTGCTTTCAATATGAAAACATGTAACTTGAAACTATATAAATTGTATGCAATATATTTGTAGTAAATAAATACAATTTTACATTAAATGAGTGGGAAAGAAGGAGAGGGGAAAGAAGGGGAGGGGGAGAGGTAGAGGAGAGGGGTGGCAAGAAAGAGAGACAGACAGACAGAGAAGAGAGAGAGAAAGAGAGAGAGAGAGAGAGAGAGAGAGGGAGAGAGGGAGAGAGAGAGAGAGAGAGAGAGAGAGAGAAGAGGGTGGAAGAGAGGAAGTGAGGTAGCTCTGAAAGGAGTTCTGAAAATACATTGAAAGAATAAACACACAAATAAGAAAGAGATAGTGAAGAGATTCAATACAAAAGCATTAACAGACAGGAAGAAAGTTGATGCAATCCAAAGTAATTAAGATTTTCTCCTGAAGCAAAATTAACCATGGATTATCAAAAGGAAACAAGAAACATTTCCTTTGTTTCTTGCTTAACCTTGTATTATTAGTCTTACTTCTCTGTCTAGTATACTATTAAAACCATGTGATGAGAGCTAGGTGGGTATTATTGAATATTGTCATTCAGTAACACCCACCTGACTCTCTGAGCTTCCCCAAAATGTGCCCACAAATGTCCTATTAAAGGATAAGAAATTGTTACCTCTGTGTTGCATCTGCACAGCATTTAGCAGGTCCCTTCTGATAGGGTTCTTTGCTTTGAAGCAAAGCCTCTGAACGTTGGTAATAGTGTCATCTCCTGATAGAGTTGTCAGGTCGATGCATGTTGCTGCCTTCAACAACCATGCAACCTACATAGAAAGCATAGCACATTTCATACAGATTAGTTGTGTTTATTGGTCTAGAACAAACAGCAGGGATGTTATACATTTAACAACACTGTTGTCACATACTTAAAGGGGAATATAACTGTACGGTTTTGGATCTGTCCATCAACCATCTAATCCACCAACTAATCAACATGATCAAACAGTTGTAGTTTTGTTTAATTTAGGAACTAAATGTACGCCTTGCAAGATTTTTCACCAATTTTTTTTTTTAGTTTCAATTTTTCTTTTAATCATACGATATAGAAATCTTTGTGTACAGAATCTGTACATCGCCATTTTTCTTTATAAATGATTGAGAAAAACTAGAGTAGAAGTAAACTTCTATAATTTGTCACACCCCCCTATCTTGAGACTATAATTTAGTTTTGACAGAGAACACAATAGCTTGATGGAGATGGACAATATCTTGCAAGATTCCGTTGAAGAATAAACAGTATAATCATGTATAATTTAATAGAGTAAAGGAGCCCGTTTTCGGCCACTTAAGACAAAATCCTATTTTTAGGACTCTTTACTTCCTATTTATTATCATTTCTTGTTCAAATCATGAAGCAAATATTATTATTATTTAAACAAAAAAAGAATCCCAGAAAAAAATCACGAATTGCCATGACAATATTCATTTCAATTTTCACTGTTTTGGAGCCAGTTATCGGCCGAGCGTTTCAGTTTACGGCCGCATGTACAAAGTCAATAGGAAGCGCTCGCGCGCGCTGTGCGTTTCCGCGCTGATGTACAGCACAAGCGGGCGGAGCAGGTATCCCACGCCGGAGCTCCCTGGTGCTCGCCTGGCCGAAGACGGGCACAGCGGTGATCGGAAGTTGGAATCTGAATTAGACAGAGATATCGTGTGTGCGTCGCGGTGTGCGGCTGCATTGATTTAATACATGCGATGAGATACTTTTGAGCTTGCGACTAGCACAAAATCGGGCTCTAAATCTGAAAAATACTTGAAATAAAGCTCATTTTATGGTACCCATATTTCTTACAGACACGCGTAAGATACTCGATTTTTCAGATTTGGGTAGCGGAACCGGCGATTACATCGCTAAAATGTGATATTTTAGGATATATTTTCCATTGCAAATGTGGTTCTTCAGTGACACTGGCATGGTATGGTATGTGTGGGATATGTGTTATGCTATTATGCGATGTATTTTAGAGTGATTTTACCTTGCATCCAACCAATCGGCCGAAAACTGGAGCTGGCCGATTACCGGCTCCTTTACTCTAGTACTATAGCTCAGAGTCAGACAAATCAAACTTCAAAGTCAATGCAGAATTGTTTGTGAGATTCTCACCTGATAATTTTTCTTGACTCCTCTTCTTGTCCCGATCTCATTTGCTCTTTTGAATACAGCAGGTTTGTTGACCCTTACAGAATCAACCCACATTAGATCTGTAAAAATAAATTGCGAAGAAAGGAAAATTACAAAGCAAATACAGGCTACAACTAAGTTACAAGCTATGCGCCACAAACAACAAGGAGTGTCAATGAAGAAGGACCCACGCCTGACCGCCAGGCGCGCGCCACATCAACATACTACATGTAGGCCTAGATCTGACTCGGACATATATACTGCCGTGTATCTCAAAATACACTTACTCTTTAAAAATTCAATACATATACTCAACAAAAATACAGACAAACATTTTCAGACAAACATCAATTAAACAAAATGACAAAAAAAAATGATTTACAGTACCCAAATCAGTTCCAGGATTTCGGGCGGCCATAGCTGCTCAATTAGTGTCCATTCAAGTAGACAAATCAAAAATGAAAAATCTTGGATCTTGGATTTATTTCCTCCTAAATACTCCGAAGGAGAGTTTAGACTGGAGGTGGTGAAGAATGGACCATTACATTTTGGAAAAAAGAGGGAGCCAGGGGGCCCGGCCCCCCCCCCCCTGGAAAAAAATGTGTATTTTTACATTTGTTAACGTTCATTTTACCTTTTATGGGAGATGCCCCCCCCCCCCCTGGCGCTCAAGGGGAGGGGGGGTGCAATTTTTCTAATTTTTAAGGACCAAAAAAAAATAGGGCTCACTACCCCCCCCCCCCCCCCCCCCACACACACACACATCTAAAATCAGCGACATTTAATCATCATGGTGGTGATAATAATAAGCACAACGATTTATCTCAAATTATATTTCCCCTTTTTTTTCTCCATTATTCTCCTCCTCCTTCTCCTTGCTAGCTAGGGCCGGTGTGACCGCGCCGTTTGTCCTACCAGTTTTGTTTGTCCGTCGGACATAACATGCGGGTTTTCTGCTCGCACGGATCGTCCGTTACTCGCACGGATCGTCCGAGGGACGATTCGTGCGGTTTGCTATCCGCACAGTCTGTCATCATATTGTTTTACGTGAAAAATAATATAAAAGGAAGCAACTCGGTAAATCATGTGGTAGGCATTTTTTCTAGAAATTACATAATAACAACTCTCTACAATTTTTTTTAAAGCAAATGGGCCAGTCCTTTTGAAAGTAGAAGTGAATATTTTATTTAAAACCTTAATTTATTCCATGAATATCGGCCCCACAACTGTTGTAATCGATTATACTTTTGTACGTGGCTTCAAAAGTATTTGGGGGCGTTTCGAGGTTTAATGAAGGAGTTAAATGGGAAATAAAAGTGATTACCTAATAAAGCCGGGGGGGGCCATTATGCCCCCCCCCCCCCATCCACGATTTTTCCGATTGCTCGGGAACGCATATGGATGGCGCCCCGCCGCTCGCTGACTTTTTATTTTCGAGTCTTGCGCAACTTTTAAAATAATTTTTTTGAAAATCGGACCTACGGTTACAAGGTCACGTGAATTTTTGCATTTGCATGTCAGCCCGAAAATCGCTCATTTTCGTGATTTGTGTACAAAACATATGGAAAAGTCAGTTTTCCTAAAAGCAGATCAAACATGGGTTATTGGGAGTAAAAATAGTTGAATTGTAGTAAGAAATTAAATAAAACAACAAAAACAATGAAATACATAAGCAGAAAAACAATAAAATACATAAGAAATTATCAAAACAAGGGATAACATAAGGAATAAGCTGGCTCTTCCAAAAAAATTTGTCGTATTATTATTCAAAATGGTCTAATGAATATATATAGTGAAAAGGGGGGGGGCTTTGGGGGGCTCAGATATCATTGACCCCCCCCCCCCCCCCAATATTTTTTGCGGGGCTTAGATATAGATATCATTAAAGCCCCCAATTTGTTGATGGGGCTTAGATATCATTGAGTCCTTAGGGGCTAAGATACCATTGAGCCCCCAATATTTAAGTGGTGCTCAGATATCATTGAGCCGCCCCCGATACTTATTGCGGGGCTCGGATATCATTAACCCCCCCCCCTCCCCAATCATTATATTCTTGGCATGAAACTCATGTATACCTATAATCTACAGGCTTACCATTCAAATATAAACATTTTATAAATATTTATTTGGGGAGGAGGGGGGGGGGGGGCTCAGACATCGGATCTCGCATATCATTGACCCAAAAAAAAATATTTGGTGGATCTCGGATATCATTGAAACCCCCAAATATTTTGGCGGGACTCTGATATCATTGAGCGCCCCCCCCCCCCCCCATATTTTGGTGGGGCTCAGATATCTTTGAGCCCCCCCCCCCCCCATATGTTGGTGGGGCTTAGATATCACTCAATTGTTTTTTACGGGGCTCGGATAACATCACGGAGCCCCCGTTTTTTTGTGAGGGGCTCGGTTATCATTATCATTATAGATTGGTGCACATCCTTATGCTTGATTATCCTCTCCTATCTGTTTATTTTCATTTCTCTGTTAGTCATCCTTTATTTGCTACCTATGATATTTGGTAAATACCTATATATGCAAAATAAACCCTGGAGGTTTAAAGTTGTAAAGTCCAGGGCAGTTCAACACACGCAATCATGAAATAAGGATGTCTTCATCGAAGTGTCTCTGTAAGTTTAGAACCACCCACTGTGCCTACCCGCTCATGCCACTCTTCATTCAGGGGCGTCGCTAAAGGGGGGGGGGGGTGGGGTTGAAGTCGGTGGGATTTTTTTTTTATGTCGGTCGGCCAGCAATTTTTTCCCCTTCGAACTGTGACTTTTAATCGGACAAAGAAACATTTTTGAAAATTCAGACAATGATCTAGAGTCGGTACAATGAATCGTCTTCTTTTTCTAATAATTTAATGAAACGTCTAAGTTAACGCGCTTCGCGCGGGAGGCCTTTCACCCATTCCCTCCCTACGCGCGCTCTTTAAGTGATTCGCTTGCTCAATACCGCCCCTCCCTAAAATAAGATCCTAGCTACGCACCTGCGTTAAAATATATAGCTATGATGCTAACTAAGTTTACGAAATAATTTGTATATTTATGTCGTCGACGAAAATGACCATTTGCGCATAACAATTTAGCCTTTGCATGATCATTTTTGCGCTTCTTGCTGCCAGCAAGATAGTTTCCTTCTGCATTTAATTTTGTTGCTGTTATGAGTTTATATTTATATTTTTGTTATCAAACAGGAATAAATAAATGAATATATAAATACATTTGTACGATACGATTTGTACGACAGTTGTACAATGATGATAGAAGAACCAATGAAAATCGCAACTGATCTTCCCTAATTCTTTTCCCCCTTTCCTTTTCTTTTTCCTCTTCTTCTTTTCCCTTACCCCCCACCCCTGGATCCGCGCCGGGAAGACCTGTAGTAGGTATAGCACACCAAAAATAAGTACAACAAACACGTGTTATTTGATGATTGCAAATGATCAAGCTATATGAAAGCTTCAAAAAACAAAAAAACAGAATTGAAATCGATCAATGCATTGTGATTTTATACCATTTTTTTTATATCGCAAAATTACCGAAAAACCTGCCAGAAATGGTCAAATTGGCAAAAATGGCAAAATTCGACAAAGTTGACAACTTAATTCATCACTTTCTTGGAAACAAATAGTAAATTAAATTATCAGACACTAAAATATCATCTTTGTGGTAAAAAATACAAAAAGAAAATTCATATATCTATTACCGTTTTGAAAACAGAAGGAAACAAAATAAGTCATTTCTGCCATTTTTGCTAATTTGCAGATATGAAAAAGTTGTGAAAATAACTAAGTCCGTCTAATTAATATGCGCATAATCAAAACCGAACATGATACATCAATGAAACCTATGTATATCAGACAGGTATGGAAATATTTTTTTTTTAAGAAAAAAAAAATGAATATTCATCAAATATGCAAATTAGGTAATTTCAGCTAATTATATATATATAGGAAAGACAAACTGTTCATTTTGTTGGCATTTTTTAAAATCATATATTTATAGATCATATTTACACCAAATATTAACATTAAATTCCAAATATTTTTGCAATGCCAATAAAATATGGCGATGGAAATTACTTGGATCACCGTTACAGCTATTTCCTCATATGTTTCACAAATTATTCAGAAAAAACAGAACAAATGATAAGAATCTGCAGACTTTCAGCTACATCACAGTATAGTTTCTTTTAAAAAATGTCAGATTTGAGGATTTATGACGATTTTCCGAGAAACCATTCAATTCAACAGGCCATAACATTCCACAAGGACTGAATTTCAGAAAAAACAAAGTTTGGTGACCCTAGTACAGTTGTGGCTACCTTGAGTGTAAATAACAAATTGATTTAATGAGTGAAACATATGAGGATATTGCAATTTTGTAGGGGAGTTTTATACATTGAAGTGCATTTTTACCACGCAGAATAACAGTCAATGGGCGATCAGCGGGCCATGTCACACATGGCTGAAAAGACAATATTCTAATTAATAATTTAACATATTTCCCACATGCCTATAACAATGAAACTACACAGAATTGAAGTTAAAGGTATGCTTGAAAGATATGTGAAATAAAAATTTAAAAATATTGTTCAGTTTTTTAAAGATAAATTTACGAAAATTGCTATTTCTACCAACTGACTGCTGTTGTGTGTGTGTGTGTGTGTGTGTGTGTGTGTGGGTGTGCTTGTGTGTGTGTGTATGCATGGGGCAGACTGTGTGCACAGGCTGTGTGATCACCCTACCTGTAGTGTCATCCCTAGCTAACTGGCAAAGCTGAATATGGGTTATCCAGTCATTTCATTCATTAAGTATAATTATACTTGTATTGACTATGGGCGCGTTCATGCTTGATTTTGACGGCCAGAATCAGGCATCTGTTACGCGTTTAGTTTAAAACACGATTGCGTTCATGCTCACTTTTGTAGAATCACCGAAAAACGGCGATCACGATCGCCGATCGTAAACTCACAAAAAGATGCGTTTACAATTTGTAAACGCGTTTAAATGGGGTCAACGCACTGACCTCTAGTGGGTCTACGTAGCATGCGCACACAGGTTTGCGAATCCAGCTGAAGGCCACCCAAGGAGAATTGCCTGGAGAATTAAGTGAGCATGAACAGTGCACCGTGGAACTGCGATTACGATGAGCGTTTACGATGAGCGTTACAAATCGCTCATTCTGCCTTCAAAATCAAGCATGAACGCGCCCTATGTATACGTGTGGACTAGAGTACGGACATGCGGTGCGGCAGGCGGACTATTGGGGCGAGACCTCTTCCGCACAGATTGTCCGTCAGACATTTGAGACGCGCACGGAAAGTATGATTTTTGTATAAATATCAAAGTAATATTTAGCACATTTAAGCTCAGTGTGTGTAATATCGAGGATGGGAAGTGCGAGAATGTCTCGTGATTCAGCTTTGATGGCAGCCAATAATTTGTTTTTTTAATCATTCTATCTGGTTATCTTTAAAGGTACTAT